ATCCACAGTTGGCATTGCCATCAACCATTGCACTCATCCTGGGAGAGTGTTTGGGTGTCATCAGAGAGTTGAAGAGTGCGTCAGGGCCTAGAGAGACCACGGAGGTGGTCTGAGAGCGACAGTAAGTGCTGGTTATTTTTACATCAGGTTTTTAATGGGTTGTTTAAGGGGCTTTCCTAGCTTTATGCATTTTTGTGTTTGTGCACAGTTCCCGGAAACCAAGGCTTTGCGTAAGTTGCGGGCTTACTGTGTTTCTATTTAAACGGATAACACTGGTTTCTAAATTTGCATCTGCGCAAAATTTTTCCAAATCTGTGCTCATGCTTTGCAGCAGCAAGTATCCTATTTCTGCAGGATACCAACCTCAGCAGAAGGTGCCATTTTTCAGGAGATCAAATGTCTAAGCCAGGACGGTAGGTGGAGGAGCAGCTTAAGAAAATGAGGTGCCTCCTTCTGAAAGTATGGGAGTTGGCCCCCAAACCTTAAGACTAAGGGAGATTCAAATGGGTGTTGGCCTCATTAGGCAAAACTGAGAATGACCCAAAAACTTTTGGCGTTTCAACAGGGCTTTCCTTCCCAAGAAACTGAACTAATCGGTAGAGCTACACTTTGTGGGTGTCACTAAGCAGACAACTGACTCCGCAGGATCTATAGGGGCGTGGATTCTGCCCAGCAATAATGCAGCATGTGGAACACAACACACAACCCATTTTAGTAGGGTCATAAACAATAATGTGCTTCTTGGAACCAATGGGGCAATTGTCAAGCAGAGTAAATGAGCATTGCTTTCCCTCATTGCATCATGTATCACGTTTCATGATATGGTGCCCACCAGCCTCCCCCAGTCTGGCACCTTGCAGATTTTTTGGGACAGCAACTCTCATCAGGCTCGAAGACCACAGCCAACTTATGAAGCTGAATTCTTCTGAGGTAGACTACGGATGGATCAAAGAAAGGACTTCTTCACACAGCACATAGGAGGCAGTGATTGCCACCAACCCAGATGGCTTTAAAACAGAACCTGACAAATTCACGGAGAAGGCTATCAGATGGCTATGCTCTGCCTGCACAGTCAAAGGCAGCAACACTTCTGAATCCTAGCTGCTGGAAACTACAAGTGCTCTTCTGCTCAAGTCTTGCTTGCAGATTTCTCACAGGCATCTGGTTGGCCACTGTGAGAACAGGATGCTGGACTAGATGGGCCATTGGCCTGATCCAGCAAATTCTTCTTACTTTCTTGATAGACATCTTAGATTTAAGACCTGGAGAACTTGGTAGTAAAAGGAAGAAAACTCTGCTTCTAAAGAGAACTATAGCCAGGAGATAATAATAATAATAATAATAAAAATAATAATAAAATTTTATTTATATCCTGTCCTCCCCAGCCAAAGCCAGGCTCAGATTGGCTAACAACAAAAAAAGTAACACAGTTTACATAAAATCACAATCAATTAATTGAAATGCATTCTAAAATCAATTCATTCTAAAATCAATCCAGAATCAAATTGATGGCAACCATTGGGCTAGAGTTCTATGAGGATTACCAAAGGAGGGGGTCAGACTGTTCCTTGGCCAAAGGCCTGGTGGAACAGCTCTGTCTTGCAGGCCCTGCGGAAAGATGTCAAGTCCCGCAGGGCTCTAGTCTCTTGTGACAGAGCGTTCCACCAGATTAGGGCCACAGCCGAAAAAGCCCTGGCTCTGGTTGAGGCCAGCCTAACCTCCCTGTGGCCCGGGACCTTCAAGATGTTTTTGTTTGAAGACTGTAAGGTCCTCCGTGGGACATATCAGAAGAGTCGGTCCCGTAGAATGATAAACTCAGGAGAATACCTTCCACACTCAGTGATACCCCACGCTGATTTTTTTAATTTTTATTTTTAAGAAGGGCTGTCGTTCACTTAAAAAAGGCTCAGGATCAATCCTTAGGATCTCCAGCTAGGCCTAAAAGGGGGGGGGGGACATGCCTGAGAGCCATTGCCAGTCAATGTAAACAATACTGAGTGAGATGGACCATAGGTAGACAGCAGTTTCCTGGGTTGCTAATTACAATACTCTTTTGGGGGGTGGGGGGTGTAGCTAGTGATAAGAGCATCTGAGGTAAGGTTACCAGATGTCCCCGTTTCCCGGGGACAGTCCCCAGATTTTGTCCCCTGACAAAATCCACTGAATTCGACTGAAGTTGAAAAGTGTCCCCGGAGTCATTGAAAAAAATAATCTGGTAACCTTAATCTGAGGTGCTCTACCGTTTGGAACCCCTGCTCTACATTTTTCTGATTAAGACCCAGAAGATCCCCCAACTAAAGAATCATGGCAAGAAAAACTGATGGACTATGCAGAGCTGGCAAAACTGACATATAAGCTACGGGACAAGGATAACTGTGACTTTAAGGATGAATGGGAACCCTTTACAAAATATTTGAAGACGCAACAAAGCGAACTGGACTCCTTGGCAGGTTTTGAATAAACATTCGCAAACTTTTTATTGATAATAATCAGCTAGATAGTTTGAGGATCTATACAACTTTGTAACATGCAGAAAACAGCATTGTTAGAGAAACCAAAGACTGGAACTGAGGGAAGTCGGGGGGTGGGGTTATGTGTGGGAGGGGGGAGGGAGGAAAAATGGGGGGGGGACCAAGGATGATATGTTTTTGGATAATATGTCTTGTTATAATTTTTGAATTAAAAAAAAAAGACCAGGAAGATCATCCCTACAGAAATTGCAGGCTTAGCCTTTGTTCTTTGCAATTCCACCTCTGACTGCAATGTCCCTCCTTTATCCGACCAGCTCCAACAGTGCAAGACAGCTCCCCACTCCTCTGTTTTGTTCTTCTCCAGAACGTCTGCCTATTGGGTTACTTCTCTTCTGGGTTTCCAACACGTCCAACACTTTCCCACCCTTCTCAAAATTCTTCCCACAATGGGGGATTTACACACTTGCATGATTTTCAGTTGAGCGGCTGTAGCTGTGACCAGGTGGCCTCCGATTCAAGGTAGTAGGCCAGCCTTCGCCAACGTGGCGCCCTCTGAACCGTTTGGAGTTCAGCTCCCATCATCAGCCCCTGTCAGTGTGGCCCTGCTGGCTGGGGATGATTGATGAGAGTTGTGTAGTGAGAGCTGGACCCTAAAGAAGGCTGATCGCCGAATAATTGATGCTTTTGAATTATGGTGCTGGAGGAGACTCTTGAGAGTCCCATGGACTGCAAGAAGATCAAACCTCTCCATTCTGAAGGAAATCAGCCCTGAGTGCTCACTGGAAGGACAGATCCTGAAGCTGAGACTCCAATACTTTGGCCACCTAATGAGAAGAGAAGACTCCCTGGAAAAGACCCTGATCTTGGGAAAGATGGAGGGCACAAGGAGAAGGGGATGACAGAGGATGAGATGGTTGGATAGTGTTCTCGAAGCTACCAGCATGAGTTTGACCAAACTGCGGGAGGCAGTGGAAGACAGGAGTGCCTGGCGTGCTCTGGTCCATGGGGTCACGAAGAGTCGGACACGACTAAACGACTAAGCGACAACAACAACAGAGATCTGGATGGGACCAGGCTGCTCTCTCAAGCCTGCAGGGTGGAGAGCAATACTGACCCACTTTGCAGGACTGTTAGGAATACAGGGTGCTGCTTCATACTGGGCCAGACCATTGGTCCATCTAGCTCAGGGTTTCTCAAACGTGGGTCTCCAGCTGTTTTTGGGACTACAGCTCCAATCACCCTTAGCTAGCAGGACCAGTGGGCAGGGATGATGGGAATTGTAGTCCTAGCTGGAGACCCAAGTTTGGGAAACCTTGATCTAGCTCAATACTGTCTACAGTGACTTCAAGACTTCAGTCACGGAACGCTTCCAACCCTACCTTGAGAATGAATTTGGGGCCTTCTGCATAAGGATAATCAAGAGTACAGTGGTACCTCGGGTTACATATGCTTCAGGTTACATACGCTTCATGTTACAGACTCTGCTAACACAGAAATTGTGCTTCAGGTTAAGAACTTTGCTTCAGGATGAGAACAGAAATCGTGCTCCGGAGGCACGGTAGCAGCAGGAGGCCCCATTAGCTAAAGTGGTACTTCAGGTTAAGAACAATATCAGGTTAAGAACGGACCTCCAGAACGAATTAAGTACTTAACCCGAGGTACCACTGTATAGTCTATTGCTGTTAGCTTGTAAGAAACAGCTCCCCACTTGCAATTCCCAGCAACTTTAACTGAGAGGCAAATTGCCTCCAACCATGGAGGCTGAACATAGCCACCAGGGCTAGTAGCCTAGCCATGGATAGCTGTACCAGCTTGCCTGTTTCTGTCTTTCCACTTGCCTACTTCACGTGGAGAGCTCATTGATTTTGCCTGCTGAGCTAAATCTCACTGGTTCCTAATGCAACTCTGCTAAGTTTTTATCGCTTCATCCTGCACTGCACGCCCAAGATCAGGCTCGGATTTAATTCCCTTCCAATCCCCTACAAATCCCTCACATGACCCATCTACTACCTGACACATTTATCCCTCCCTGGGATCGAATGGGAAGGTGGAATTTTGAAAAAGGGCCCAATAGGACATGGGAGACCATTCTTGGAACCCTCTCCCCAGAAAAACTCGCCAGGCACCAACACTGTCCATTTTTAGGTACCAAGCAAAAACATGCCGGTTTACCCAGCATAACACTGTATGAGTGTGGACTGCTCCACACTTTAGTGGAGTACAAGTCTTTTTATTTTTGTTAATGGATTACTACTTTTATATTCTTATGTTTTATTCTGTGTTAGAGGTTTTTAATGTTTGAGAAGTTTTCTGTTTTAATGCTCTGTAAGTCACTTTGAGGCATTTTGCAAACAACGATGAACAAGTATAAATAATAAGTGACGATAATTGAATCTAAAACAATTCTTCAGCTTAATGGACAATTTGATGTTATTTTCAGCTCCAAGCCATGGATGCTCCAAGCATTAAGAAGTTTCTTCTGAAATTCACTGCAATTTCTTAAGATCCATGTACATAATACATAATACCTTTAACCAAACCCAAATGATTTATTTATTGATAAAATAATTATATGCTGTCATTCATTTTAAAAAATGCCAGAGCGGTTTGCAACAATGGTTCATAAAAGCCATACAATAAACCATATTAAAAAGTCAGAAACATAAACCAGCTAATTGCTGCAGAAAGATGTACTGTATCCTTAATTGCTTGCAGAAGCATGGCAGCAGGTATTTAAAAGTCAAATCAGAAGACACCTGCTGAATCTCTATTGGCAGAAGATTCTACAGGCCTGGGACAATGACACTAAATGATGTTCTTGCTGTTGTCAGATAGGCCTCACCAACCTGGGGAATAATAATAGTAATATAACACCAACAACAACTTATACCCCGTCCATCTGGCTGGGTTTCCCCAGCCACTCTGGGTGGCTTCCAACAGTTGATTAAAAATACATTAAAACATCAGTCATTAAAAAACTTCCTTAAACAGGGCTGCCTTCAGATGTCTTCTAAACATCATAAAGTTGTTTACTCCTTTGACATCTGATGGGTGTTCCACAGGGCAGGCGCCACCACCGAGAAGGCCCTCTGCCTGGTTCCCTGTAACTTTGCTTCTCACAGTGAGGGAACCGCCAGAAGGCCCTTGGCACTGGACCTCAGCGTCAATGATGGGAATGGTCAATGATGCTTCTCCAGATGATCTCAGTGATGGAGCTGGGATATAATTATATATTCCACAACAGCTCCATAGCAGGGAGCTCCATCCAGTTAAGAATCTTATATGTTCCTATGTAAGTGGTTACCAACCTTTTTGGGCCCATGGGCACATTTGCAAACTGGAGAAACTGTTGGGGGCACAGCACACACACAGCAACCAAGCAGTGGTACAACAGCATGCTTCTCTGAAGCCTAATTTCAGTAGGAGAACGGCTATGTGGTCATATGGGCACCATGTTGGTGAGCCCTGGTATTTATCCTTCTTGATTCAGGGTAGTCCAACATAGCTAGACTCTCTCCAACTCTCTCATTCAGAGCGTTTTAGATGATATAATATTGATACAGCTGAATTAATACAGTAGGGAGATTGTGTCAATTGGAACAATTGATTGCTTTTGGTGGAATGGAAATATAAGGGAGAAAGGGGGGGCATTTAATATATATCACTGAGCTTCTGAGGCAAATTTTGAGAACAACCAAATATTGAAAGATCATCAGCATCTGCTGGTGTCTATCTGTCCCAAAGCCGGGGAAATATACATCACAAATAAAAATAAACCTAGAGAGTCCTACTCACTCAAAATAAAGTTTGACTGTAGCCCATGGGGTTTCCTCGCTATCCAGTTTGTTGAGCTAGGATGCAACCCCTATTGCTTTTAATCTATGGGATTATTTTAAAAATGCTTTTTACCCTAACGAAAGGTCCCAGATCGGTTTCTAAAGCAAATAAAAGTAATACAAATTAAAAAAGAACAATCACAATTAAAATCAGAGCCAGGTAACACAAAATCAAGCAATGGGCCAGTTAAAACCCCATATACCCCCACTTCTTTAGGGATAAGTCCCGTTGAGGCTTATTTCTGAGTAGACAACAGGATTGTGCTGTTTGGTTTTTTTTTTAATATCAAACCTTTTATTTGCATTTTTAATATAGAGACGGAAAAGAAAAACAAACACATCCCACACCCCCTTCCTCCCCCACCAGTTGTACAACTTTCATATCAATCTCGACATACAACTAAATACCCGGTGACTTCCCTTCCACCCTTTTCCTGGTTCTTTTTATTTTTCTATTAAATGGAATATTCCAAATTCTTCATATTGCAGAAATATTCAAATTTCTTCATCAGTTATAAATCCCATTAACTTCTATGCTGTTGGATTTACTCAAGACCTGCTAGGTTATTCACTTGTTTATACTGGTTCTGAAAATATACAGCAAAAATTCCCCAGTCCTCCTTTATATTCTTTATCCTCCTTTCATCTCTCTCTCTCTCTAATTTTTATTTATAAAATTTCTTTACAATTTCAAATATTCATTTTACATCCTTAAGATCTTCATCCTTCTCTTTCTTATATGATGTGCACATAGATGAGCACATCATATAAATCCCTGCATACTTTACAAAAGCTATACCATTCAGTCTTCCATTACTGCATCCATCAAAACTTGTTTACCCTGCTGAAATGATCTGAATGCTGCCAGCCTTTTCAGCTGTGATCTCTTTTTGTGCGTGCTTGTTTTAGTTAGGCAGCTCCCAGCACTTCACCTGACAGCAAGCAAGTCGCCTTGCAAGCGCGCACGGCTTCACTTTCTGAGCAACACAGGAAAAGGGTTGCTGCTGCCGCTGCGCCCAGATGGCGCGCACGATCCTTTCCCCACCGACCTCGACGGGGCTTACTTCCGAGTAAGCACCACCAAGATCTGCCCCATTTTCAGGCTATTCAAGGCTAAGTTGGGAGTGGGGAGGGGTGTCTTGCGCACCGTTTTGCGCTACCAGCAGGCTGCCCATCCCGCGCGCCCTCTTTGCTTGAGAACCCAAGCCCGGCTGAGCTCTACACCGGGCTTACTCCCGAGTAGACCTTTCCTTTGGCTGCCGGAAGGTTCTGCAACCCGTCTGGCTCCCGGGCAGACTTTGCTCGCTGTGCCCGACCTGGGCTCCCCTTCTCGGGCCGTTGCTTCCGCGAGGGAGGCGGATTCCTCCTGCTCTTCCTCCTCCTCCGCTCCAGGGCGAAGAAGGGCAGGAGAGGCGGGCCTGCTGCTCGACGACGCGATGATGGCGGCGGCCGCGGCGGCGGCGGCTTCGGGCTCGGCCGGCCGGGCGCCGGTGCTTCTCTCGTGCCTGCTGAGCCACCTGGGCGGCCTCCTGGTGGCGGCGGCGGCGGGGCAGGCGCAGGTGGAGGTGCTGCTCTTGCCGCCTCCTCCTTCTCCGCCGGCGCCCGAAGAGCAGCCGGCGCAGGCCGAGGGAAGCGGCCCCGCTGGCGGCGGCGACAGCTACACTCTGCGGGGCGCGCTGCTGGGCAGGCCCGGCCTGGAGCCGGAGCCGGAGCGCGGGGAGAAGCGGCCTCAGGAAGAGGGCGAGGAGGAGGCGGCGGAGGAGGAAGCCATCCGGGGCCGCCTTGTCCTGGTGAGCGGCGGCCCCCGGACGACCCTCTCGCAGTGGGGCGACCCACTTCCCCCCCGTCGCCCTTCTCAATGTACCCCCCTCCCCTCCCCAGATCTGCTTGGGGATCCCCCCCTTCCCCGTTAAAGATTCACCCTCAGGGCCCATGCCAACCCCTCCACTCCCTGTACAGAATAATAACAGCAACAAAATACCATCCCCTTTCCCTCCCCCTCACTAAAATGGCTGGGTAAGAACCTGCTGCTCCCTGCAAATAATTATAGTTATAACCATTGTCTGTCTGTCTCTCTCTTCCCCCCCACCGCCCCACAACAAAAGGGCTAGGTAGAAACAGGCTCCCTGTAAATAATAATACAGTAATAAAAACAATAACAGTAACAAATACCATTCTCTTTCGCTTTCCCATGGCTGGGTAGGAACCTGCTCCCTGCAAATAGTAGTAGTAGTAGTGGTAGTAGTAGTAGTAATAATAATAATAATAGTAATAACAACCATTGTCTCTTCTCCCACCCCCCAACAAAAGGACTAGGTATAAACAGGCTCCCTGTTAACAACAGCAGCAGCAGCAGCAGCAGCAGCAACAACAAATACCCTTTTCTCCCCCCCCCCCCAATGACTGGGTAGGAACCCGGCTCCTGTTAAATAATAGTAATAATGATAATAGCAGCAACAAATACTGCCCCCCCAACAGACCCCATGATTAGGTAGGAATCTGCTCCATGTAAATAGTAATAATAGTAATATAATAATGACAGCAACTTGCCCTTCAGTATCAGGACCCCTGGGGCAGGCTACCCTAATTTAAAATCTGATATTGAAAACAGTTAAAACAAGCCACAGGAATAGGGTGGGCCGTAAAGCTCCCATCTCAGGTGTCAAAGGTCAGGGTGGACCCCTCTTTGCCTTCCACTCACTCAGTTGAGTGGTGATGGTGATCCTCCAATATCTGCTGGAACCCCCTTGGAGGTTGTCTTCTGCAACTTGTCAGTCAAATGGCATCCCCTTCCCTGCAGATAGGCGGAGAGAGTGGCCTGTCATATCCCTTTCCTCTTGGGAGTGTTGGCAAGCTGGTCATGACCACGGGTGGCTACAGACCCTAACTTTGAGTGCTCACCTCTTTCTCTAGGTGGGGGACACCGACCCCGAGCTGAAGGATGATGACAGTTGGATTGGCGTCGTCCCAGTGGGCGAGGAGCAGGCGGATCTCCCACGAGGCAGCAAGGAAGAGTCCTTTACCACTGCTGTGGTCAACAAGGTGAGTCTCCTATTCTCCCTCCAGTTGCTGTGACCCAACCTTCTTCTTTTGGGGTAGGTTCCTAGGATGCTGCGTATACGGAATCAGATGACCATTGGTCAGTCCAGCTCATTATGGTTCACAATGACAGGCCGCAGCCCTCCTGGATTTCAAACAGGGGAAACTACTTAGAAATGCTGGGGATTGAACCTGGGACCTTCTGCATGCCATTTTAGCTTGGTTTAGAGCAGGCATGGCCAAACCTGGCCCTCCAGCTGTTTTGGGACTACAACTCCCATCATCCCTAGCTAACAGGACCAGTAGTCAGGGATGGTGGGAATTATAGTCCCAAAACAGCTGGAGGAGGGCCAAGTTTCACCATGCCTGGTTTAGAGCATGGTTTCCCAAACTTGGGTCTTTCAGCTGCTTTTGGACTCCAATTCCCATCATCCCTGACCACAGGTCCTGCTAGGTAGGGATGATGGGAGTTGTAGTCCCATCTTGGAAAATTCAGTACAGGTGAAAGAGAGCAAGTGCTTTTTCACGTAGCGCATAGTAAAGAGGGTTCGACAAATTCATGGAGGAGAAAGCTATCAGTGGCTACCAAGCGTGATAGGCATGCTACAGTTGGAATACCATTTTCTGGAAACCATAGGAGGGGACAATTCTCTTGTGCTCAGGTCTTGTTTGCGGGCTTCTCGAAGAGGCATCTGGTTGGCCACTGTGGGAATAGGATGCTGGTCTAGATGGGCCATTGGCTTTATCCAACAGGCTCTTCTTACATTCTTATTTGAGTGAGGGAAAGTTGCTGTTTCTCGAGACAGGGTCCACGGGTAACAATATGGCGACCCTGTCAGTAGTGAGGTGTTATGTAACACATCCCTCTGATGTGTCCCCCAGAATCAAGTGCTTCTCAGATTGCTGGGGTTTTATACGTTCTTCTGTTTTGAGATACATTTTCTCGTTGCAAAGGCAGCAAGAGACTATCGATATAAGGCATGGGTGAGGAACCTCAGGCCTTGGGGGCCAAATGTGGCCCTCCAGGTCTCTCCGACTGGCCCTTGGGACTTCACAAGGCCACACCCCTCACTGGCCCCATGTCACACCCTCCAGAAATGCTTTTGCCAAGCTGGAATTTGTCCTTGAGCTCTGATCATGCTTCTTGCTTGCCTGGGTTGACTATAGTACTGTATTGGCCCGAATATAAGCCGCACCTGAGTATAAGACGCACCTTTAAAATTCAAGGGTGGGGGGAAGAAAAGAAAAAGACAGTACCCGAATATAAGCCACTCCCTTAAAATTCCGCAGGCACTCACACCCGTTTCATGTGTCTGTTTTAGCAGCAATATCGTAAAAAAGCCAGTTTTTGTAAGGTCACGAATTTAAGCCGTGTTTTATCTTTTCATGGTCGGAATTTGGAAAAAAAGTGTGGTTTAAATTTAGGCCAATACAGTGTATAAAAACTAGCTTGCTGTAGCTCTGCGATTTCTCCCTCTGCAGATGAAGCGCGCCCTTGTCTTGGGGGCCTCGGCTTTGCTCATCCTCGCGCTGAATCAGAACGCCATCCGTGAGGTGAGCAGCATCCCTCCCTCTCCTTTGTCCTTCTGGCTGAAGGGTGGACCTCAGTTGGCCTGAAGGAGCCACCAGCGGCCCTACCAGCGGCCCCTTTAACCTCTCGCTTTCCTCTTCCCTGCTGCAGTTGGATGTCTCCCAGGTTCTCTCCAAGCCTGTGATTGTTGTCCAGACTTCAGAAAATGTTACCAAGCTCCTCGGTGCATTGCTACGGTGAGACTGGTTGGGTTTTGGGGAGGGCAGGAGATCCCACATGAGGTTCCCATTGCTGGCTCGGGCAGGCAGGTCAACAACGTTGGTTTGTTTTACAGTGGTACCTCGGGTTAAGTACTTAATTCGTTCCGGAGGTCCGTACTTAACCTGAAACTGTTCTTAACCTGAAGCACCACTTTAGCTAATGGGGCCTCCTGCTGCTGCAGTTCTTAACCTGAAGCACTATTTCTGGGTTAGCGGAGTGTGTAACCTGAAGCGTATGTAACTCAAGGTACCACTGTACTTTCTTGAAGGATCCGGAGCAGCTGATGAGAGCAATTTAAAAGCAATGGAGAATGTTGCTAAAGAGCACCTGTCTTGGCCTGTCAATGCAGAATGATTAGGGATGGAGGCAGGCAGGCATCTTTGGGGAAAGTCAACCCCATCACCCCCACTGTGCTCTGTCACAGAGAGAAGCTCTTTGCACCTTTCCTCTGTTCTGAACAGAAAGAAGGGGTGGTGTCTCTTATGCATTGAATATTTTCCAGGGTATTTTTACGGAAATCTTTTGTGGGCACCCTTTGAGGTCCTGGCAGACATAACTGGTGCCTGCAGGGGCCACATTGGTGACCCCGATCTGACAATTCTTAATTTTCTTCTTAATTTTTGCCTGCAGAGGTCTTCGGGCAACAGCAAAGATAACATACCAAGCGGTGCTACTGGAAAACGTGGTATGTAATCCTCAAGGGAAATGGGAGCTTATCTTCCAGTTGGCACAGTACATATTTAAACCCCCAATTCCCCCATTGTTCAGCAGGGGAACAAGATGTGTGGGCTTGGTCATCCAATGGGTTAAATATTTGCTATCTATCCTCTTGCCTGTTGGGTGCCTCCCCTTTGTCCGCTTCCATGATTGGACTTCAGCCTGAAAACTTTCTCTGTGTGTTTCTTCTTTATAAGGGAGTGACCTTGACTCTGTGGTCAACCTGTGGCCTGTCCCGGGGGGGTCTCTATGGAGAGTGGCAAGGAGTCATCTGCACAGGAGAGAACAGCTCAAGAGTCCAGGTTGGTACCCCTTGCTGGATCAAAGGGGGCGGGCGTTCTGCTTAAAACCATATTGATCCCTGCGCCATAGCCGAATTGGGCCAACTGCTCTGTGAAGGGCCTCCCTGCCCAGGAAATGAGAGCAGCAGTCGTCTACTATAATTAAGATTACTTTGTTATACGCCAATGGCAAAAGTACTGCACGAGATGACGTGCAGGAATTTCATTTTGTGACAGAGAGATGGGGTAGGGCTGTAGGTGTGTCTTTAAAAAGTATTTCCGTTCAGCTTGGACATTCCTGGGAAAAATGGTTTCCAAGAGGATAATGAGAGCATATATTGTATTTCATTAGTGTGTTCCCACCCCAACTCATATAGGAAGTATATAAGATCTGTTCTTACATCAGCTGTTGCATCCTTTCCTCTCTGTTTTTTTAAACTGGCTTTTTGCAAACATGGACCAAGTACATTTTCAGGGTTTTTTCCTTGCTAAAAGCAAAAATTGTAAAAATGAGATGCTATTAAATCTTGCTAAAATCAATCAATCAAATCAATGGAGGAGCAAGCTGTTGAGAGATAGGTGGATGGCAAGAGCAAGATTAGCAGCCGTGTGTGTGTCCATTTAAGTTAAAATATTAGCTCATCTAACATCTCCTAGGCTTTGCAGATGCACACCACTGATGTTACTCTGATATGAAACCAGTTTCAGTATTGTGGCTCTCCTCGAAAGATCTCTAGGAACGCTATAGTTTAGCAGAAGGGCTAAAATTCTAGATTAAAGATCTCCCTTCATAGGACAAGTTCTGGGGTACGTTGACTGGGAAACTTTCCAATCTGTACGGTCTGCATTTCAACATGCCATGCGTTTGCATAAATTGCAGGCATTTTACGGAGCTTGGGAGACCCGTCAGCACCTCACCTGTCTGTCTTCCAGGGAACTGCAGTATCTCAACAGTATTCCAGTACCCGGAAGCGCGTTGCACGGCTATTCTTTTTAACTATCAACAGGTGGAGTTTTTCTTGCTGTGCTGTTAAGAAATGCCCTCATATTTAGTGGTGGTTCTGGTGCCCCCCCCCCTAAAATGAAAATGATGCGCCCCTCTGCACCATCGCTATAAGAATGTAAGAAGAGCCTCCTGGAATCAGGCCAATGGCCCAGCTTAATCCAATGTCCTGTCCTCACTGTTGTCAACCAGATGCCCATGGAAAACATCTGGAGCTGTAAAAATTGCATTGGTAGATCTGGTGCCGGGGGCAGTCCACCAACCCTTGTAATAAACAACAGTCTGATGCCATCTTGGGCTACTTCCTTTCTCTCCTGACCTAGAACTGTTGTATGTGATGGGGCCATACTTCTTATGTGGTGTGTGTCCTCCTTGCAGAAGTATCTCCAACAGCTGTGGAACGCCATCTTGCTCATTGCCTTGATCCTGTGCACAGGCGTGATCATGCAGGCACAGCGACAGTCTCGGCACAGCCGGCTCGACCAGGACTCCGAGGTGAGTTTGCTCTCTGCCCTGCTCACCCCTGGCAGAAAGCTCCCATCTGGGTTTCGGGCTGAGGCTCACCCTGGCTTTACTCCTGCAGCTCGATCTCAAGCAGCACATTGTGCAGAGGCTCTCAGCACTGAAGACTCGGCGCTACCACCCCGGGAAGCTGCCCCGGAGCTGGGCTCACGAGATCGACAGCTGCGCCATCTGCTTGGACCGGTTCCACAAGAACCAGGTAGCGCTTGCCGAAAGGCCAACGCGTCTCGGTGCCTCGCAGGATGCAGCAGGGTTTCTGTGGGAGGGCTTCTGCATCCTCTGTGTTTTTAAAGTCTGCATCTAGAAGCCCTGAGTGGAGTTGGAAGCCTATGGTGTATCTAGTCAGACGTGGTGCATGCGCAGCCACAGCCCTGCATGCGCAAACTCTCGCACATCACCACCTCCCAACTTGTGTGCCTTAATATTGCGGATGCAACCTTTCATAGACTTCACCGCCACATAGATTAATAGGTTAAAAGGTTATTTTAGCCACTAAAAATGAACATAAGAACATTGGAAGGGTCCTGCTGGATCAAGCCAAATACGTCTGATCCCAGATTCTTTTCTCACATCTGTCAACCAGATGTTTGTGGCAAGCCTGCAATCAGGACAACAGCAGAAGATAGCCATCGTGGCTAGTAGCCTTTGATAGACGGATCCTCCATGAAATTGTCTAAACCCCTTTTAAGGCCATCGAGCTTGATGGCCATCGCTCCCTCTTGCAGGAGCGAGTTCCATAGTTCAGCTATGCGCTGTGTGAAGAAAGAAGTGGTCTGTCCTCCATCAGGTACCCGAGATACCTGAGTTTTCAGGGATGCATTTATAAAACCTTCAGGCCGCAAGCCTTCCCCAGTGGTGCTTGCTAGAACTCAGTGCCTGCTTAATGTAACAGCAAAAGAAGGGTGCTGCCCGATAAAGGCTCTTCCACCCCCCTCTAGCCATGAGCAAATTTGAAAGAGACATAAGACGGGGAATAGATCAGACTATTGGTCCATCTTGTCCACGTCTTTGACAGAGAGCATTAAGTTGTCAAAGGCTATCTGACCACTTAAATCGGTTCTGCTGGGAAGTGAACCCAGACCTTCTGCATTCAAAGTTTGTGCTCTCTTACTGAATTACAGCTCTTCTCTTAGAGTAGTCGACAAGCCCACACAATTAACCTACTTAAGATTTCTCTAATCAGGTAATGGGCCCTGCTTAATGTGCATTACATTGTAGTTGCCCCATATGGTGATCTTTCCCTTTTTCAAATGGGAGCCGGGGGTGGGGTGGGGTGGGTGAGACTCTTTCCTTCTTCCCTGCCCCACAGCCTCTGGGTTGAGCTCTTCAAAGTGGGACATGCAGCTCTTGAAACTGTCTCAATCTGCCCAACAGTGTCTCCGGGTGCTTCCATGCCTGCATGAGTTTCACCGGGACTGTGTGGATCCGTGGCTCCTCTTGCAGCAGACCTGCCCCCTCTGCAAACACAATATTTTAGGTAAGCCCCTTTCCCCACCCACTACGGGACCAGCTGCTGCCCAGATCTTCCCACTTCTGCTTTTCACCAGCCACTTCTGCAGACGTGGGGCTGGGAAGCTTAAACAAACTGGGAGCTGAAACACCATATATAGACCTAGTTGGCTGCCCTCTCCCTTTCCAGTGCCCCTCCTTGGCATTGACGGGCAGCAGAGAATTGCCCCGTCTTGAGTCTTGTCTGGAAGCCGCATCCTCTAATCCTGGGTGCATGGAGGCTGACATACTTGGCGGCAAGGGAAAGGCACTCTGCATATCCTCAGAGGCGGTCTTTATTATTGCTTTACAATCCCAGCATCACAACTTGGGTTGAGCCCCAAATGCCAACCCACAATTTGTATTTTCATTTCATGCTCTCCTGTGAGTTCACAATGGCCAGAGATTACTGCAGCTAGAAGAGCGACCTAGAATTGGCTTTGGTGATCTAGTTGCCAAGGTGGGAGCCCCATTCTGCCCTACCTACCAAGCCCAGAATTTCATCTTCCCATTCAGCCGCCGGAACAGGAGGATGGAAAGCCATAATGATGTTTGCTGTTACTTCCTCATTTCTTAAGTGTGTGTCCCTTAAAAGGGGGAAGTGGCCTCCTTTCTCGGGTGGAGGAAGCAAACGCACTGAGCCTTGGTATTGGTTGGTCTGTCTTTCTTTTCTTTAAAACAGCTTTCTCTCTGAAGGCTCAGGCCTTTTGCTCTTGGGTCTTTTTAAAAAGAACAGCAAGCAAGCAATCGAATTCTCCATTCGGGGAGTTTTGCTCTTTCTCAGAGGCACTCTTCTTCTATTTTGTTTTCCGCTGCCCATGCCAGCCGTTCATCCACTTCCCCTCCTGGGATCCATGTTGCACATCCCCCTCTTACCTCCCCCAACCCTGTGGCCCTTAGAGCAAGGCTGGGGAATTTGCAGCCCTTGAGATGCTGGGACTCTGTACTCCCAGCCAGCATGATCCCAGTGGTCACAACACCCGACACCACAAGGACCACAGCTTCGCAATAGCTGTCACACCAACAGGCCTCATGGCCTGGGGGATCTCTGCCTTTCTAGTAAAATACCCCCTTCTCTTTTATTTCCTTCCCTGCCTAGGAAACTGCTGTCAAGACAGTTAGCACGACGATTGCCCGCCTTTACGGATCAATCTGCTTGTATTTCAAGGAAGAGAGCAATTTTCCCCCAGAGCATTTGGACGCCGTGGCAGCTGCTCGGGACATGGAGGAAATGACTCTCTTGGAACTTGGGGCTCCTTTGAGATGGGAAGCGTGTGTGTGTAAAAATAATAATGTGTTTGTTCTCTGGCCTTTTCTGTGCTGGGCTAAATCATTTGCACCATTGGTGGAGCATCTGTGCAGTATGAACCCGGGGAGGAGGGTGTATGTGTGTGCTGAGGTTTTCTTGAAACTCTGCTTGTACCTTGTTTTGCCACCTTGCAAGTCCCCCCCCCCCTTCCCAGCTTGGACTGTTCCTGATGGGAGGAGGCTTCGCTTGCTTAGGGTTGGGGAGGGTGGGGATTTTGAAATGCTTGCTTTATTTATACTAACTTATTAGAGAGAAGGGGCTGGGCAAGACTGCAGGGGGTTATGGAGGGGCTGCAGAGCCCTCTCTGGAGAGCGTCGCGGCACTCGAGGCACTGCTGGGGTGTGTAAAGAGCCACCTGTACTAATAAAAAGGAGGAAAAAATCTAAGCAACAAGACGCTTGACTCAGCAGCATTCAATTGCAATCCCGTCTTTCCCCCTGCCTAGAACATTCCCCTTGGCGATGGAAGGGCTACAGGTGGGGCAGCCTGACCCCCACTTGCCTTGCAGGGGCCTCTGTCAATGGGGGGAGGAGACAGCAGGGATCCCTTGGTGGGACAGAGGACAGTCCTGAGCACATCCCTGGGCTGCAACTAAGTTGAGATTCTGTTTCGGATGGTTGTTGTTTTTTTAAAACACTTAAGAATATGACCCCCCTGCATGAACCCCCCAGGTTTAGTTGTCTCATACCGATTGATTGATGTCATAATTTTATTGCACATGGTATTATTTTAATTATGTCCACAACTGTAATTAATGGAAGCTACTTTGTTCTTGTGAAGCACGGGTTATAAGGTTCAGAAATACTGTAAAATAATTCTAGGAAGCCTCACTCAGAGGGGAACTGGAGGCGGTTGATCCAGCTGGAAGGCAGAGGGGCTTAGAAGGCCTGTACTTGCAGCAAACTAGGTTTAGAAACATGCTTTTAAAAATAACAACAACATTGAGATTCTCCAAATGTTGAACTCCATTTACTCTGCTTTTTTGCTGTGTGTTCTTGTCTAGAACCCACACGCAGCCTTTAGCAGGGAAGAGTTCTTGGCCTTTTCCACCCAAGTTAAGACGAAAAGCATCTGGCTTTACCCCCCTAGGTCAGAAAAGGAGCTAAGAAAAATTGGACATCTGCGTTACAATGATCTGCTTCTTTTCTGCAGGGGATCCTTGACTGGGCCACTTCCCCTCTGAGGATCCCCTCCACCACTGCATTTCCTGTTGGAAGATGCGGAAGAGCTAAACACACAAATTACTTTAACTAGGGAGAAGTTCCACTGGCCGCAGCCCCTCCTGGCCATCACAGTTGTGACATGTATATTGTTGAGGTTCTTACTCCCACCTTCCTAGTCTGCTTTTGGTCCAGTCACACTTGGAGAACCTTCCTCACCCTGCCAAAGAATGCCAGTTCTGTGCTCAGGTGACCGTCCTACCACAATGGACTGGATTTCAGGGGAAAGAAGCTAATACCCTCTCTTTCTCGCCTCTCTGTCATTTACAAACTGAAATTGGTGGGGTGTTTTTGGGAGGGAGGTTGATTTTTTTAAAATGGAAGCCAAATTCCCCACGCTATTGGGGTTTTTTTTTTGCAGGGAGGTTACTAGACCTGGCAACTCAGAGCAGGGCAAAAGACACAGAAAGATTGTTCCTGCATCCTTGCCTTAGTGAACTCATCAATTACCTATAAAGACTTTGGTGAGGGTCACCTGGAGGGGTCACCATTGCAAAGGTGCATGACCACCCGAGCACAGGAACAGCATTGCACCGGTGATTATTTGCAGCCAGGGAGAGGTCCAGCCATTTGTTCTCCCTTCGCCACCAAACCCGCCCCCCCCCACTCCTTGCTTTTCTTTGGAAATGTTGGCAACCTTCTGAACTTGCTCTGCAGGGCCTTTTTATTGTTATTTCTGGTGTTTCCTGTTGCAACGGGCCGAGTGGCCTGGGGTTCTGCTTTTCCCTTTCCCCCGGGCGTGGGCTCGGATGGCTTGTTCCTCAGAGATGAAGGTGAACGCCGATTTCCGGGTGGCCTCTCCCGCAGACGGCTTTGACTGCTGGCTTCGGAAGGGGGAGCCGTTCTTCGAGGCATTGCGGGTGCTCTTAGATCTGTGTGGGGTTGGGCTCCCTGGGCTCTTGGGGCTGGCAGGAGGCCTCAGCGCTGCTCCCTGGGCACTCGTACGTGCGGGATGCCTGCAGAAGGAACGGAAGCAAAGAGGGGGGTGAGGAAGGGCTTTTCTTTGTTCATGGTCGGAGGATGCTGCAAACCAGAACACTCACCTGGTTGGCGTGTGCGTCCCGCTGTCTTGGGGAGAGGACAGATTCCACAGCTGGGTTGGAGGAACAAGCTGCGGCGAGGGGAGTTCCATATTAAATTCAGGTATGGGTGACACCTCTCTTTTACTTATTTATACAGTGGTACCTCTGGTTAATTCGGGCGCGGGTGGCACTGTGGGTTAAACCACAGAGCTTAGGGCTTGCCGGTCGGCGGTTCGAATCCCCGCTACGGGGTGAGCTCCCGTTGCTCAGTCCCTGCTCCTGCCAACCTAGCAGTTCAAAAGCACGTCAAAGTGCAAGTAGATAAATAGGTACCGCTCCGGCGGGAAGGTAAACGGCGTTTCCGTTTGCTGCTCTGGTTCGCCAGAAGCGGCTTAGTCCTGCTGGCCACATGACCCGGAAGCTGTACGCCGGCTCCCTCGGCCAATAAAGCAAGATGAGTGCCGCAACCCCAGTGTCGGCCACGACTGGACCTAATGGTCAGGGCTCCCTTTACCTTTACCTCTGGTTAAGAACTTAATTCATTCCGGAGGTCCGTTCTGAACCTGAAACTGCTCTTAACCTGAAGCACCACTTTAGCTAATGGGGCCTCCCGCTGCCGCTGCGCCGCCGCTGCACAATTCCTGTTCTCATCCCGAAGCAAAGTTATTAACAAGAGGTACTATTTCTGGGTTAGCAGAGTCTGTAACCTGTAACCTGAGATACCACTGTAAAGCAATTTATATACAACCAACCCCCCAATTTGTGCCCGTCGCCATGGCTCTTCCCATTTTGGTGCTACCTTAGGCCCTTCCTGCTGGGCTGCCTCTCTCATTTTGGCCACTGCGGTTCGGAGGCGTGAGTTCTCTTCCTCCAGGATGCTGATACGAATGTTGTTGGCCTGCAGCTGCTTGCCCATGTCCTCCATGACGTCCCCAGTGCCTGTGACAGAGCCAGCGAGGACAGACTGGGCATCACGGACTCACAGCATTGAAACCGGGTGGGTCAACTCAACAACTTCTTTCTCTTCCCTAAACTATCCCTTTCAGATTACTAAGGAGGCCTTGGCCTGCAATAGGAGCACATCTGGACACTGGAAGGATCCTCATAGTGAGTTAGACCATTGCCCCATCTTGCTCAATATTGCATACTCAGGCCGGCAGCAGCTCTCCAGGGTTTCAGGCATGAGACCCCTGGAAACTGAACCTGGGACCTTCTGCCACTGAGCCTGTTATTTGCTTATGTGCTTATTTAGGGAAACAGTTTTTGCTAAATGATAGGAGACGTTACCTAATGGTGAGAGGTATTGGCCATGACAGCTGTGGTCTGCCTTTGAATGCCAGTGACTGAAAATCACAGATAGGGAGAGATGCTCAGGTCCTTCTTACAGGGTTCCCTTGGGGGCATCTGGTTGAGCACTGCAAAATCAGGATGTTGGGACCAGATGGGTCCCCTTTGGCCAGATCCAGCACCCAGACTCTGATGGTGTTCTTAGGTGCAACTTCCAAGCCCCTCCCCTTCCTCCTATTAGCTCCTCCCCCTGGCACAGGGGACCTCCCTTCCCTTGGCCTCCTTACCTTCATACTGTGCCTCAACAGGGATGTGAAGGTCTGGGAAGAGGACCAGCAGCCTCTCCCTGTCCTTCAACTCCTCAATCAGCTCTTTCAGCTCAGAGACGGTTGTCTGCAGCTCAGACACACGCTGCTCCAGGCTCAGCTTTTCCTTCTGCGCTCGCTCTGTCTGCTTCTGCAGCGAGACAGATGGGAAAGGATGCTCACTTTTCTTTGGACTACCACTCCCATCAGCCCCAGCCAACACAGCCATAGGATGCTGTGGCTGTCGGGAGCACGGCTGATGGGAGTTGTAGTCCAAAACAGCCGGAGGCCACCGGGTTGGCAAAAGCTGGCATAGATGATGGCATATAAAAGTTTAACATGGCAAAATGGCTAGAAAATTTTTCGCCACAGTTTGATAAGAATTCTCATCCTTCTCTGTGCAATTTGTCCTGCGCTGGGGAGACATGGCCTGGGTCTCACCAGAGGAGCCCATGCCAGGCGTTCCTACCCTGCCCACTTCCTACAGACCTGCTGGGCTGCCAGCTGGTGCTGGATCTCCCACTTCTCCTCCTGCATCTCCTTCAGCCTCTCCTTCAAGATGTACTGGTCCTCCTCCCTGTCAGCCAGGCTGGTCTTCAGCTGCTCACACTCCTGGTCCAAATTATCCAGCTGCTTCATCAGAGTCATTTGCTTGGTCTGCAGGGACTTCAGCACGAGAGGGGGAGATCTTGTTAGTTTGGACTCAACAGATGCAAGGTGGAAAGCCAATGATCATCTGATTCGTCATGTCAAAGGGGCAGGTTGTAAACGGTGCACCCCACTTTGCATTCTGCAGTGCTCAGCAGTAGAGCATCTGCTTCACCTGCAGAAGGTCCCAGGTTCAACCCCCAAGTAGGCCTGGGAAAGATTCCCTGCGTGAAACACTGGAGAGCTGCTGCCAGTCAGTGTAGACAGCACTGAGCTAGATGGACCAGTGGTTTCACTCTGGGATAGCTCCACTCTGGGATAGCTCCACCGGTAGAGCATGAGACTTCATCTCAGGGTTCTAGGTTCGAGTACCTACCACCTTGGTCAAAAGATTCCTGCATTGCAGGGGGTTGGACTAGATCAGTGTTCACCAAACTTGGGTCTCCAGCTGTTTTTGGACTACATCTCCCATCATCCCTAGCTAGCAGGACCAGTGGGCAAGGCTGATGGGAATGGTAGTCCAAAAAAACAGCTGGAGGATCCTGGACTAGATGATCCTTGTGGTCCCTTCCAGCTCTATGATTTTGTAATTCTAAGAAGATTCCTATGCGCTGCAACGGGGAATGAGATCCGACCCGCCTCCTCTGCCATGGGGCTGCTGGGAGTTAGAGTCAGGGTGGTGTATTGGTTAGAGTGTTGGACTAGGACCTGGGAGACCAGGTTTCGCACCCCCACTTGGCCATGAAGCTCACTGGGTGACCTTGGGCCAGTCCTATCTACCTTGTAGGTGGGTTGTGGGGAGGAGAACTAGTATGTAAGCCACCTTGAGCTCCTTACAGGAAAAGGTGGGAGATGAATGAAATAAATAACAGCATCAAGACTAGGTTGCCCACCCTGATGCCCCCAGCCACACCTCTTTGTGCCGGAGCACGCTCTCAGCTTTGGCCTTCTCCTTCTCCAGCTCAGTGATGGCCCCGTTCAGCTGTTGCTTGGTACTCTCCAGTTGGCTCGTGAGGACCCCAAGCTGGTCTTTCAGCTTGTCCACCTCTGCTTTGCACACCTTCGTCTCCCTTAACTCCTGCAACAGCTCGCGCTTCGCTCGCTCTGGGGAATGCACAATAGCTCAAGAGCATCATGTCGCATGCTAGTGGTTTGCAATTTCAGATTTCAGGCAAGGAAGCAAGAGTTAGACTCGTCCCAGAGGCTGGCTCTTAAATACAGTGGTACCTTGGCTCTTGAACTAAATCCGTTCCGGGAGTCCGTTCGACTCCTGAAATGGTTCAAAAACCAAGGCGCAGCTTCCGATTGGCTGCAGGAGCTTCCTGCAATCAATCGGAAGCTGCGGAAACCGTGTCGGGTGTTCGGCTTCCAAAAAATGTTTGCAAACCGGGACACTCACTTCCAGGTTTGCACCGTTTGGGAGCCAAAACGTTTGAGTACCAAGGCATTTGAGAACCAAGGTACGGCTGTACATTCAAAGTTAAATGGCAAAAAGCGGTGGCCACAATCCAACACAGTTACTCGGAAATAAGCGCCTTAGCATTTCCATTCATTCTTTCAGCAAACTGAAAAAGGCTCCCCACTATAGACCACTTTGGCAACAAATAATAATAATAATTGTACCCCTCCCATCTGACTGGGTTGCCCTAACCACTCTGGGCAACTTGCAGCATATACAGAAACAAAATAAAACATTGAACATTAAAAAACTTCCCTATACAGGGCTGCCTTTGGATGCCTTCAAAAGATTGTATAGTTACTTGACGTCTAACGGGAGGGCGTTCCACAGGGTGGGTGCCACTACCCAGAAGGCCCTCTGCCTGGTTCTCTGTAGCCTCCCTTCTCGCGGGGAGGGAACTGCCAAAAGGCCCTTAATGCTAGATCTCAGAGTCGGGGCTGAACGACGGAGGCGGAGGCGCTCCTTCAGGTATTCACCTGAGGCTGAGGGTGGGGGGGCTGGCCACCCTCTCTCAGCCTCCACGCGGAAGAGGAAGCAAGCTTGTTTTCTGTTGCTCCAGAAGGTAGGATCTGAACCACCAGATTCAAATGACAAGAAAGAAGTTTCCGAGGAAACATTTGGAAGAACTTCTCGATGGCAAAAGGTCAGTGGAACAGACTCCCTTGGAAGGTGGCAGCCTCTCATTCACAGGGCATTTTTAACAAGGTTTGATGGCCATAATAATCATAATAATTTATTATTTGTACCCCGCCCATCTGGCTGGGTTTCCCCAGCTGCTCTGGGCGGCTTCCAACAAAGATTAAAAATACATTCAAATGTCAGACATTAAAAACTTCCCTGAACAGGGCTGCCTTCAGATGTCTTCTAAATGTTAGGTAGTTCTTTATCTCTTTGACATCTCTTTGGCCATCTGCCCAGCTTTATTTAACTGTGATTCTTACATCGCAGGGGCATGGAATAGATTGCCTTTGGGACCCCTTTCAACTCTACAGTTCTATACCTCTATGATCCCTCTTTCCTCCATCTGCAGTACAGAGAAAATGACACTATTATTTGGGACAGTTAGCAGGACTGCAACAAGACACCGGTTTGTTAGTTTTTACAGTCAAGCAGTGTATTTTGTGAAATAAATTACATTAAATGTTCTGAATCTTGGGAATGGCCTGTATGAAATGCTGCCTGGTGTTCCTCTTACCCAGCCCTTGGATGGTGTCTTCCTGCCGTTGGAGCTTCTCTTTCAAGGTGGAAACGTTCTGCTCCAAGGCAGCGGCTTCTGGAAGTAGTCAAACAATGTCACTGGTCAGCATGGACCGTAGAGGAAGACAGGAAGCTGCCTTATGCTGAGCCAGACCCATCGATCCATGTAGCTCGGTGTGTCTGCACTAACAGCCCGTTGTTGAGACGGAAATGCAGGAGCCCTTTGGAATCAAAGGTTTGGGACAGACTGGGGTCACATCCATACCATACATCTAAAGGACATGGTTCCCCTCAAAGACTCATGGGAACTATAGTTTGTTGAGGGAGTGTAGCTCTCTGAGGGGTAAATTATAGTTCCCAGGATTCTTTGGGGGAAGCCATGTGCTCTAAAGATACGTATGTGCAGCCACAGCCTGGCAGGTATCGGAATGGAGAATGGGCAACCTGTTGCCCTCCGGATGATGTTGCACACCTAAATTGCAGGTTTAATAATTAATAATTGCAGGTAAGAGATAGCTGCACATTCCTGCATTGGAGGGAGTTGGACGTGATGGTCCACAGGGTCCCTTCCATCATGATTCTATGATTCCCATCTTTCCGGACAACTGGCTGTGCTGGCTGTAGCTGTTGACAGTCACAGTCCTTGGGGTCTCAAATTTCAGCGGCGCCCTGTGCAATGCCAAAATTTAGCACGTGCACACACACCCGCCTTGCACTTTCTTGTCTACAATATATTTGTGGCACCCCCAAAGCTCCACACCTAGTGCAACTCAACCGAACCAGTTGCGCTCCCTTAAACCTGCCTGACAGTTGGAGTCCAAAAAACACCCATAGGGCAGGTTTCAAGATAGGTCTAACTATACAGTTGTACCTCAGAATTTGAACCGAATCCATTCTGGAAGTCCATTTGACTTTCAAAATGTTCAGAAACCAAGGCACAGCTTCCAATTGGTTTCCGATTTCGCAGGTGCACCGGAAACAATAGCGGAAGCCACGCCGGACATTCGGCTTCCAAAAAAAATGTTCAGAAACCAGAACACTCACTTCCGTTTTTTGATCGTTTAGGAGCTGGAACGTTCGAATCCCAAGGCTTTCGGGAGCCGAGATACGACTATGTTCAACATACATGAGAAGTGCTAGAATTTTTGTCCCGCTCCTCTCCAGCTTCTGCTTCTGCCTCTGATGTTGGACTTCTCTCTGCCACAGACTCCTCCTGCTCACTAAACCCTGTTGCCTCTTTGGCTTTTGACACCTCCCCCCCCCCACAGTCTGCTCCCTCTGACCACTCACCCTACTCCAATCCCCTGGGGGTTCCCTTAGGGATTCCCCAGCTGCTGCCTCCCACCACTCCTCAGCATCCAGCCAGTCTGTGACATAGAATTTCACTTCTGAGAGGAGGAGGAGGAATTTGGATTTGATATCCCTCTTTATCACTACCCTAAGGAGTGTCAAAACGGCTAATAATCTCCTTTCCCTTCCTCCTCCACAACAAACACTCTGTGAGGTGAGTGGGGCTGAGAGATTTCAGAGAAGTCACCCAGAAGCTGCATGTGGAGGAGCGGGGAAGCGAACCTGGTTCACCAGATTACAAGTCCACCACTCTTAACCACTACACCACACTGGCTCCCAGGGAATCCCTGGGAGAAGCCATGGCTATGAAAATGGTACAAATTTCCTTTAAGTACATGGCGTGGATGTGAGCTGGCTGAAAGAAAGAGACAGGAAAGGATGCTCACTTTTCTGGAGGTCCTCCTTGCCCATCCGCAGGGTGGCCATCATCTGCAGGTTCTCCGTATTCCTTCTTTCAAATGCCTGCTCCGCCTCCTTCCTCTTCTGCTCCCGCTCCTCTCTTTCCTTCTGAAGGCGGCTATCAAAAGTCTCCAGCTGCCTCTTGAGCTCGCCCTTCTCCTTCTCAGACTCTTCCAGCTCCCCCTTCAGAGGGTTGATGAGTTCCATCAGCTTCCGGAGGTGTTTGTTGATCCGGGATAGGTCCTTGCTTTGCTCGGACGCCCAGTAGCTGATGTCCACAGCCGTGAGCGGCTTGCGGCCCAGGGTCTCCTCCACCATCTCCAGGAACCTGCTCAGAGACGACGGGAGGTTCTGGCTGTTGCAGATGCCGATGATGGCGCTGCCCACTTCCCGGAGGCTGAGCTGCGCCCTCTCGCACGCGTCGCAAGGCACCAGGGATGACTCGATGGTCTGACAGTGGGTGCTGCAGATGGGCTTGGCGGCCCCCTGGGCTGGCGGTGCCTCTGAGGAGGTGGCGGGGCAACCGTCCAGCAGCCTGCTGCTGGCCGATGAGGTCAAAGGGGAGGACCGGAAGCTGGGCAAAGTCACATCTGACTCCGAGAAGCAGATTTTTAAAGACTCGTTCTCAGCTTTCGCCTCCTGGAAGGAAGCATTTGTGCCAAGAGCATCCTCTCTGCTGCGTTTTTTCTAGGTATAAAAGAGAAAGGCCGGCATTAACTTTCCAGGTTTTTATTTTATTTTGGGAGGATCACAGGAGAGGTTTGGGGGGGGGAAAGGAAGTTTGGGCATCTGCTGTGATCAGACATAAAGGTAAAGCTAAAGCTAAAGGTACCCCTGACCATTAAGGTCCAGTCACGGATGACTCTGGGGTTGCGGTGCTCATCTCGCTTTATTGGCTGAGGGAGCCGGTGTACAGCTTCTGGGTCATGTGGCCAGCATGACTAAGTCACTTCTGGAGAACCAGAGCAGCGCACAGAAACGCCGTTTACCTTCCCCCTGGAGCAGTACCTGTTTATCTACTTGCACTTTGACGTGCTTTCAAACTGCTAGGTTGGCAGGAACAGGGACCGAGGAACGGGAGCTCACCCCATCGCGGGGATTCGAACCGCCACCTCCTGATTGTCAAGCCATAGGCTCTGTGGTTTAGACCACAGCGCCACCAGCGTCCCGTGATCAGATATAGCTTGATACTAAGAACTTAAGAAATATACGAACGTAAATGGAAACTTGCTAGATCTTGTTTGGCATCCATGGCCAACTAGATGCCCCAATGTGAAGCATGAATGCAGGCTGTATGTGCAAGAGCCCCCACCCTACTTGCGATTCCTGGCAACTGACATTCAGAGGCGTACTGACTCAGACACTGGAGTGAGAACATAGCCATTGTGGCTAGCAGCTACCAACAGCCTGATGTTCCTCCATAAATTGGTCAAACCCTCTTTTAAAGCCATCCATGTTGGCAGCCGTTACCACATGCCCTTGTGACTGTGACTCTTAACTCTTCCCAAGGATTCAAATGACGGCAGCTTGGCCTGTGCTGATAGCAGAAATGGTTGACTCCACCTTTCCACCCGTAGAAGTGCTCAAGGAGCTTTTCCAGCACTGAGCTTACGATGGAAGATCATTTGTATCTTGCCTGCCTGTTTGGATACCTGCAATGCTTTATGGTGCTGTAGTGTGATCAACACAACAAGGCGTGGATGGGGCCCTGCGACCTTCCAGATGTCAATGGAAGTCCAGCTCCCATCAGCCCCAGCCAGCAAGGCTACTGGTTGACTCGGGGATAATGGGAGTTGTAGTCCAGAAACATCCAGAGAGCCACACATTCCCCATCCTTGCTGTAAACGGCAATCCTGCAGCCTGTGAAACATCAAACCCTCCCTGTCACTGATTTTGGCAGCCTGAGACTACAGCCTAAGTGCATGATTTATGTTGACAGGTGGGTATCACCATCTCCAACTCCTCGAAAGATTCCATCAACCATGTCTACAAAAAAAAAAATAAATACAATCACTTGGGAAGACAGGCGAACTAATGCCAGTATACTGGAAGAATCAAAGATCACCAGTGTTGAAGCAATGATTCTTCAACATCAACTTCATTGGACTGGTGATGTTTGGATGCCTGATTATTGTCTTTCAAAGAAACTACTTTATTCCAAACTTAAAAATGGAAAGTGTAACGCTGGCAGTCAACAAAAGAGGTTTAAAGACTCTCTCTAGGCAAATCTAAAAATATGCTGTATAAACACCGACAACAGGGAAACACTGGCCTGCAAGCGCTCCAATTGGAGAACAGCCTTTACCAAGCTATCTTGGACTTTGAAGACGCTCAAACTCAGGACAGAAGGGAGAAATGTGCTAAGAGGAAGGCACGCTGGGCAAACCCTCACCATGGTCAACTCCCACCCGGAAACCAATGTCCCCACTGTGGAAGGATGTGTGGATCCAGAATTGGCCTCCACAGTCACTTACAGACTCACTGTTAAAACAGTGTTTATGGAAGACAATCTTACTTGGCTACAAGAGATCGCCAAAGAAGAAAGAAGAAGATTGGATTGGAACCTCAAGCACCTATACAGCCAGCCCTGCATCTTTGGGGGGGGTGTCTTTCAGCAGTAGACTTCCCTGGTGCTTTCAGATTTGCATGGAAATATTTTTGGTACTTTCCCACTGCTTGGAGAAGGGAGATAAACCACACCTATCTGGCCAGAGGAACGTTTGGTCAGTGTGCATGCAGAAGCAGACCAGCCCACCAGGGCAGCCTACCTCAGAAGCCAGCTGCTGGTAGAGGGACCCCAATTTCAGCATGCTGTTCCAGTACTTCTTCACAGCCAGCCCGATAGACATGCATGGTCCTGTTGTTCTGGATGGGGGCACGGCTTGTTCACTGGTTAGGTTCTCCGTGTATCTGGTGAAGCTTTGGAGGAGCAGCAGCAACCTTCAGAGGACAGAAAGGACATCCTGCTTTAGTTTTGTAGTTTGCGTTTGAACCCCAATTTTCTTTCCGAAAGGAAGCCCAAAGCAGCTACTGGCAGCATACCAAAAAAATGTTCTCAAAACCAACCACCACACCCTCCAATGTGTTCTGGGCCAGCTGAAGTTTCCAGACAGGATTGTAGGAAGCTACCATTGGTCCATCTAGCTCAGTACTGTCTACACTGACTGGCAGCAGCTCTCCAGGGTTTTCAGACAGCGATCTCTCCCAGCCCTACCTGGAGGTGCTAGGAATGGAACCTGGCACTGCTCTGCCACTGAGCTACAGCCCCTCTTCTTTAAAGAAAACCCCATATATTGTGGGATACAACATAAGCAGTCAAGTACAACACTTCCTGTTTGCCTAGAATGGACACAGACAGGGGGATGTTGATCCAGCCAGTTGAACTTCCTGTTACACCTGGTCTGGAGCGTCCTCCCCCTGCATGTGACCAGGTAGGTGGGTGTGACCCTTGGAGATCTCACAAAAGGTCCAGTCGCACAGCCACCTTCCCTCTTTTCATGCCTTTTCTTCTCTTGGACTGCACTGCTGGCTCTCTGCCAGCAGCGCATGGACCCACCCTTACAAGGATGTAAGCCACACTGTATCTGTAACTACAAGCTAAAGCCTGCCTTCAGGGATCCAACTGTGAACTGAATGTGAGTAAACTTCTTGCTACTTTTAAAAGAAGCTTCTTGTGTCTTTATTCTTTTTGGGAGGAATAAAAGGGGTCTTACCAAGAATATACTCCAATCTGAACAAAACCAGATTGAATTGCTAAAGTAAAGAGACTCAAATGAATCTACCAACTAGCTTTCTGCTGTGTAAAGGGGAATGAGCTCTGCTATATATGTGACTCACTAACGTGAGTTTGGAAGGATAACATTTAATCAATATATCCTCTCCTAGTATCCACAACATTCCCACATATATAATGGATGCAGTAATCTAATTCAAAACCTGGCGCATTCATTGGGGTTTACTTCCATTCCAAGTTAAGAGTGGCTCAACAAGGAATCATTACAGAACTGCCAGACCTACCCTCACCTGTCAATCACTAGTTCCAGAAGAACCACGTGGGAATGATGGGTAAATTCAGGGTCATTCTGTGCAAAGTCGTAGTGCTCAAGCAAAGCAACCAAGTCCAGGTCACAGGACAACTTATCAGGAAACTTCCAAGACGGGTAGCGAACAGCCCCGGCTCGGGTGAAGACGCTGAGGACGGTTCCCTGCAGATCCGTTATGTCCTTCCGCAGACTCTCCATGTAGTTTTGGTTAACCAGCAAGGTCACCATGTTGCCACGCTGATGTCATTCCACCAACCACCAACCGGGTCTTAGGGCAGATGTTCCTGGGAAAAGCACAAGCAAGACCAACTACCTTCATCAGGCTAGTCAAGGCAGGGGGAAAGTCGCAAGAGGGGAAAGGTTAAGTTTCCTTCCTGAGTTCCCTACAAATCATGCCCAACCGTATTACAAGTATGGGGAACCTGTGGCCTCAGGTTTGAATGTAGCCTTTCAGCCGCCCCTTATCCAGCTCTCAGAACATTCCCCAGGCCACATTCCTCCCTAACCCTGATTTCACTAGACTGTACAACCAGAAAAACTGTGAGCCACTTGAGTTTGCAGCAGCATACATTTCCCCAATAAACACTATTTTTCTCCATTACTTTAAAGCAGTGTACAAAACACATTGTCTTGTCGGCAGTCTCAAAAACTGCCATGCAAAGTAGGCATGATTAACTTAATTTGCTCCCTGCTTGCTAAATTTGTGCTGCGTCTTGCAACCGGCCTCTTAACACTAGCATTTGGCAGGCATGCTACTGCATAATATGGGATGCAATCCTCCTACACACATTTTATTAGAAAGCAACCTTCACACAAGGAAACCAATTCCCAGGACATTGTGCATACTAAAGGTAAAGGACCCCTGGATGGTTAAGTCCAGTCAAAGGTGACTATGCAGCTGGGGCATTAATTTTGCTTTCAAGCCTAGGGAGCCGGCATTTGTCCACAGACAGCTTTCCGGGTCATGTGGCCAGCATGACTAAACCGCTTCTGGCTATACGGGACACTGTGACGGAAACCAGAGCACACGGAAATCCTGTTTACCTTCCCGCCGCAGCAGTGCCTATTTATCTACTTGCACTGGTGTGCTTTCAAACTGATAGGTTGGCAGGAGCTGGGACAGAGCAACAGGAGCTCACCCCGTCATGGGGATTCGAACCACCGACCTTCCGATTGGCAAGCCCAAGAGGCTCAGTGGTTTAGACCACAGCGCCACCTGTGCTTTGTATACCTTGCATACTAGGTTAGCATTTCCTATAAATGCTAAATATGATTTGTTAGGATTGTTAACGGCACCCCTGGGGATGGGAGGTGAAAGGAAGGAAGCAAGGCACTCTGCACATGCTCAGACACACTCTTGCTGAAGTGCCTTTAAAGGGTCCCCTTTGCGGGGGGTGGGGTGGAGTGGATTTCTACCATGGAGGGTTGATGGGAGGAGGGTCCTGACTGGGGTGCAGTGCCAGGCTGGCTAGCTGAGGCAGCCACGAGTAGCCCAGGCTGGCGAGAATCCCTGTTGCCAATAGACTTCCTCACCTTCCCGCCCAAAGGAGGGACGAGGTGGGCAAGACCCACCTGCCAAACAGCCGCCGCCGCCGCCGCAGCCAGGCTCTTCCGCTCTTCCCAAGCCTCCGCTGCCATGGCAACCCCGAGAGCTTCTTAGGCGCGCCCCCTTTGCAACTGAGCGGATAAGCCCCGCCCTCTTTGCCACTCAGCCAATAAGCCCCGCCCTCCCGCCTTCTCTATAGAGATATAGGAAAACCTGCGTTTCACTAAACGTTCGGTTCGCGTTTGACCAGTCGCTCTATGCAGAGCGGAGCCATGTTAGGGAAGGATTCCGGGAGGGCAGGGGGATGTCCGTCCCAGTGTCTTCCGACACTTCGAAGATCCAAGATTTTTATTGTGGCACTTTAGAGACCTAAGGGATGTACATACTGCGATAGCAGAGTTTCCTTGATCAGATGCATTAAAGTTGGATAATTGGGCTGCTAGATCAGAACGAGGGGACGCGGGTGGCGCTGTGGGTAAAAGCCTCAGCGCCTAGGGCTTGCCGATCGAAAGGTCGGCGGTTCGAATCCCCGCGGCGGGGTGCGCTCCCGTTGCTCGGTCCCAGCGCCTGCCAACCTAGCAGTTCGAAAGCACTCCCGGGTGCAAGTAGATAAATAGGAACCGCTTACTAGCGGGAAGGTAAACGGCGTTTCCGTGTGCAGCTCTGGCTTGCCAGAGCAGCGATGTCACGCTGGCCACGTGACCCGGAAGTGTCTCCGGACAGCGCTGGCCCCTGGCCTCTTGAGTGAGATGGGCGCACAACCCTAGAGTCTGTCAAGACTGGCCCGTACGGGCAGGGGTACCTTTACCTTTACTAGATCAGAACGAAATCCCGGTGGGAGGGGAGGGATGTGTGGAAGAGAATGCGAAAATGGGAAAAATCTGACAAACTGTTTTTAAATATCAGATGCACGCAATAATAATAATAATCGCACTTGCCCCCGCTCACAACAATATTGGCCAGAATTGGGTGGAAGGTGTTCCCTTGACATCCCTCAGTGTGAAACTCATCTATACTGTGCTTGATATTAGAACAGGATTGAACAAGATGAGATTTACTTTCGAGTAAACATGCATAGGTCAGGTGTATCCTTTATTTTATTTCAAAATCATGTTTTCATTTGCAAGGACATAAACAAATAATGCGCTCGGGTCTGGAAGTGAAGGTTAAAGGCTCTGCAAGTATTTGCCTTAACTTTATGTGAAGAATCAGGGGAGCCGCAGACTCTCAGCGTCTCCCGTGCCTCAAACGGGCTCGAAGAGGACAACGCGCATGCGCCAAACAGCCCCCCCCCATATTTATACCGCTCCTCCTTCCTTTGACGTGGCCGCTCTGCATGCGCGCGCAGCCACGGCTGACGGCGACGCCATTTTGTCGCCGAGCTCGGTGTTTTGTTGAGCGCCGCGCGTCTAACGTCGGAGCGAAGAGCCGCCATGCCGGCCGGGCCTGTGCAGGCGATGGCGCCTGCCCAGCCAGCGCCCCCTGAAGCGAAGCAGGTAATTTTCGGCCTGATCCGTTTAGCAGAAGCTCACTCTCTGAGGTTCCTTCATCTTTCCACCCCCCCCAACCCTGGTTAATGTCCAAGGCCTCCTGAAGGGGGAGGTCCTCCTCCCAGGATGCCTTGCGGGACGAGAGCGGTGCATGCTGGGAGGTGTAGTTTGCAGCCCGCGGGTGCGTGGATGTATGGGAATTTTCTAAAGTGGGGAATGGGGAACCTAGGCCCCCCACAGGTTGCGTGACTGTCAGCTCCCATCATCCCCAAACGGCCTCGGTCCTGGATACCTGAAGGAGCGTCTCCACCCCCATCGTTCAGACCGGACACTGATACCCAGCGCCGAGGGCCTTCTGACGGTTCTCATTGCGAGAAGTGAGGTTACAGGGAACCAGACAAAGGGCCTTCTCGGTAGTGGAGCCCGCCCTGTGGAACGCCCTCCCGTCAGATGTCAAGGAAATAAGCAGCTATCCTATTTTTAAAAGACATCTGAAGCCAGCCCTGTTTAGGGACATTTTAATGCTGTATTGTTTTTAACACTCGATTGGGAGCCACCCAGAGTGGCTGGGGAAACTCAGCCAGATGGGCGGGGTAAAAATAATAAATTATTATTCTCATCCCTGGCCATTGGCCATTCTGGCTGGTGATGATGGGAAATGTTGTTTATTTATAAGATGCTTTTTTTTGCCATGACGGCTCAATCCACTTAGAAAAATGGGTTAAAAACAGAATTCATGCACACATTAAAACTGGTTCATTAAAACATCCTACCCACTCTAAAAGGCCATGGATAATTAAAAGCCAAAACCTGAGTTAAGAAAGAAGGTTTTTGCCTGGCATCTGAAGATCTATAACAATGGTGCTGCCACCCTCCAGACTACTACAATTATTATTATTACATCTATCCACACACACAAACACAGAGCATTCTTTCCCAGACCCGGACTCAGGACAGTGTGATCAAATTAGAACAACACAGATAAAATTCAAAAGATTAACAACATATAAAATATAATACTTAGTAGTTTAAAAGTAACTAAACTAGAAAATAATTAAAACAATATAAAAGCAGATCCATTGAAAGACATAGTGAAAACAACACAGCACTATTAAAAACAACAATTGCTTTAAAAACCACCCCCCAAAGCATGTTGGAATAAAACAGTCTTCATCTGCTGGCAGAAAGACAACAAAGGGTGGGATGGGGGGTTGAAAATGAGGTGATGGTTACATTTCTAAGGCCATCCCACTAAGAAGATTTAAACAAGGTCCTTTGATGTTTAGCTCAGTCTTTCACAACAGAACAATCCTGCAATAGAGACTATTGCTTTGAGGTAATACTTGATTTTTTTCCTCAGCAAACTGGTTTTTGAAAGATCCTTGGTCTGCTTTCTTTTTATGCCATATTCGCTTTTAATTGCAGCCAGAAGATGAACCGAAAGAAGAAGCAACACCAGCCAAGCCCGTGGTGGGAATTATTTATCCTCCTCCAGAGGTTCGGAATATTGTGGACAAGACAGCCAGCTTTGTAGCCAGGTAGGTCACACTAGACTGGACTCTTGGAATACCAGCTTCTTGCAGTGATAAACTAAGAGGGTGGTTGAGGCAGCCTCAGCATGCATAGCTAATCAAATGTGCTAAGGGACAAAGGCGGTGAGGACTCAGAATTGGCAATAATTTTTTGTGTGGGTTGGATACTGTGCCTGTCCTTGGTGGCTTTTGAGGAATTTTAAATTTTGGTTTGGTGCTGATTTTTGCTATATAACCTTTCCAGAAATGGTCCTGAGTTTGAAGCCCGTATCCGGCAGAATGAAATCAACAATCCCAAATTTAACTTCTTGAACCCCAACGATCCTTACCATGCCTACTATCGCCACAAAGTCAATGAGTTCAAGGAAGGCAAGGCACAGGAGCCCTCGGCAGCCATTCCCAAAGTCATGCAGGCACAGCAGAGTGCACAACAGCAGCTTCCCCAAAAGGTAAGCGGTTCCTCTCTTCTCTTCACCTGTCTCTTACCTTTCATGGTGCTGCAGGAGGGAAGGCCATCTGCCAACAAGTTTCTCTTGGCCTTTTCCTTCCATTCATGCCTCACTGGCAGAAGTGAGGAACTTTTGGCCCTCTAGATGTTGCTTACCTACAACACCCATCAGCCCTAGCAAGCAGGGTCAGTGGCCAAGGGCATTGTAGTTCAGCGACATTGGAGGGCCACAGGTTCCTCCCACCAGCTCACTGTGGAGCTAAGAACAAACTTCACCAACCTGCTGCCCTCTAGATGGTTTGGACTGCAACTACCATCAGCCCCGGCCAACATAGCCAAGCCATCTGAAGGGCACCCGGTTGGCAGAGGCTTGCTAGGAATGGTTCTAAACCACAGAGCAGCAAATACAGGGACCACCTGACCTGTGCACCTAAGTGAGGTTGGGTATGAGTGGTGATCCATTTCTGTGTTCCTTCTGCAGGTACAAGCCCAGGTGATTCAGGAGACTGTGGTTCCGAAAGAGCCTCCTCCGGAATTTGAGTTCATTGCAGACCCTCCCTCGATCTCAGCCTTTGACTTGGACGTGGTAAAGCTGACAGCCCAGTTTGTTGCTCGGAACGGCAGGCAGTTCCTCACCCAGCTGATGCAGAAAGAGCAGAGGAATTACCAATTTGATTTCCTGCGCCCGCAGCACAGTCTCTTCAACTACTTCACCAAACTGGTTGAACAGTACACTAAGGTAACAAATCTCAGATGCAGGGAGCATTCATTTGAACAAGCTTGAGGATAGTGCTATTTACGCAAAGCGACATGTGCATTTCAAAGTGACAAACTTTGAAGACTTCCTGTCTAGGTTGAAGAGACATACTTGCAAGGATCCTGGAGGGGAAAGTAGGGACACCCCAGGCATTAAGGTGCCCTAATATTGATTGCACATTGTTTGTATGATCATGGCAAGATAAAAACAAAATCTGTTCCATAGCAAACAGGGGAAGCAATGGCAATGATAGCAGAATTGTTCTGTTTTTGTTAAAAACATAAGAATAGCCTGCTAGATCATCTGGCCAGTGGCCCATCTAGTCTTTCTCACAGTATCCAACAAGGTGCTTGTGGGAACCCAACGAGCAGAACATCAGCATTCTCCTCCTGTGGTTTCCAGCAACTGGCATTCAGAAACACTGCTGCCTCCAAATATGGAGGCTTTGTCTAATAGTAGCTGGCTTGCCTAAGTCATAGCTATATCCCTTGCCAATTATGGCAAATAGTTGCCATCTTCCCTACAACCTGTGCACATGTACTGTTCCTTAAAGTGTTCCTACTTTCAGGCAAAGCTGTGCATAGACTTGGAGAGGGGAAAGCACAGAATTAAGCTTTTCTTTGAAACATTGACAACTCAACAAACAAGTTTCTAGTCCTCATGACTGCTAAGATATACTTGAAAACGTGCGGCGTTTCCTGCTGATATCTCAGAAGCTGAGTGGGTGGATGAATAAGACCTCAAGTGTCGCACATACCTCCCAGCCCATTACTATGACTTGCAAACCTGGAATAAACTATAAAAATAACTGGCAAAAGTTATTTTGCATAATTTATACCTACTGCAAGCTTTTCTTAATGCAGACTATTGATTGCTTGGGCAATAAGAAAACCCTAATTGGAACTGATGTCTCAGTAGCCTATTGAATTTTTCCCCCAGATCTTGATTCCACCCAAGGGTTTGATCATAAAACTTAAGAAGGAGGCAGAAAACCCCAAAGAAGTATTGGATCAGGTAAGCAGTTAAGAGTTTTTTACATGACTGCCCTTTGCTAGGTTTAAATAATCTGAAAACACTCTTCTGAGCTAACCATCTTATATCGCTTTGAATTTCTGCCAATACTCGGTGCAGTCCTATAGAGGTATATATGTTACCCAGGTGTAATCTTCACTGAGTTCAGTGGAGCTTCCTCCTAGGTAAGCAAGTGTAGGATTGCAGTCTTACATCTCAGTGGCCTTATTTGTAATAGAGGCAAGGTGGACTTTTGATTCTCCTTTTGTGATTGTATCACTTCGCGTTACTACCAAAGACCTTTTTATTTTATTTATTGCATTTCTATTTCACCTTTCCTGCAAAGGGGCAAACCTTCTGTGAGGTAATGGCTGGCCCAGGTCACCCAGTGAATTTCATGGCTGAGTGGGGATTTGGACCCAGGACACAGTCTAGCACACTAACCGCTACACTGCCTCTCAAAATATCCCACAATGTGTAATTTTCAAATGAGTCTACAATCATCAGATTCTTAAGTGCAGTGATCCAATTAATCTGTTTACTAGCCTTGGTAGCCAGCCAGCATCTGCAATTACCACCAACCCAGCTCTTCCCATGACTGAAGTGGGAGGATATGGCCTTGTCAATGCCTTCAAGCTGAGTTTCGGGGGCACTTGAAAGCAGTCGACCTTGATGCTTATCGAGAATGTATCCAAAAACACAGTTACTGGTTTTTTTTAAAAAAGTTACTTGATGCTTTGTGCAGGCATGTTACAGAGTGGAGTGGGCCAAGTTTCAGGAGCGAGAGCGGAAGAAGGAAGAGGAGGAAAAGGAGCGAGAGCGCGTTGCTTATGCCCAGATTGATTGGCATGATTTTGTGGTGGTGGAAACCGTGGACTTCCAGCCCTCCGAGCAAGGTTGAGTCATTTACTTTGCTGAAATGCATAGCATGACCTCTCAAAGCCTCATTGAATCCAACATAAGAAGGCTCTGGGCATATGTCAGGAAGGGAAAGCCGCTTAGACTCAATGAAAATATTGAATAACTCATCTGTTATCCCTCCAAGGAAGCACTATATAGCTACTTTCCAACAAAGTCCTCCAGCAACCACCTGCATATTACATTATTATTATTATTATTATTATTATTACCATTATCATTATTATTCTAGTTAGCTGCTTGTTACTCAAAGGTCTCCAAGCTACTTACATTCAAAAACATAAATATAAACACATTATACCATAAAAACAGAACACATCAATCCACAAAACAGCCACAGGAAACTTGGGCAGCAAACTTAGTAACATCTCAAGTCTATCAAAAGCCTGGGGGGGGGGAATATACATCTTTATGTGATGTCAAGTAGATATTGCTAAATGTGCCAGGTGGGCCTTGCTGGAGAAAACACACTCGGAGCGATAACTGAAAAGGCCCTTCTTTTCCTCGTCATCCTCTGAGCCTCCCTCGGAAGGGGAGTCCTGGAGAAGACCGTAATATACTTGAAAAGCAGATGCAAATAAAATGGAAGCAGCAAGCAAGACCTGCATTTGAATTCTGCTTCTTGAATCCCACAAATAGCAGAAGAAAGTGAAGCTAACAGAGCCCCCAGCCCAGAAGTCCAGTCACTTCCCACTGAGGTGGACCCTTAACAAGGAGCTTGTCTAGGGAAGACACATGATGCTTTTCTTAGCTGTGTAACTTAAGTTTCACCAAAGGTATGATTCCCCCCCCCCTTTTTTTTTTTTTGCAGGGAACTTCCCACCTCCCACCACTCCCGAGGAGCTAGGTGCTCGAATTCTCATCCAGGAGCGCTATGAGAAGTTTGGAGAAAGTGAAGAAGTGGAGATGGAAGTGGAGTCAGATGATGAAGATGAGAAACAAGAAAAGACTGAGGAAGCACCATCTCAGTTGGACCAGGATACCCAAGTGCAGGACATGGATGAGGTGAGCAGTTAGTCTGCGGGAAAGTCTTTTCGGTGTGGCGAAGCTTGAAAGTAGTCTCTCTGAATCTCTTAATCCCCGTACTCAGTAAAGTAATGTTCGTAAGAGTTTGTTTCTTGTGCTGCATAGCTGGTGTCCTGGACCTTAATGCTCTCCTGAACTTAAATTGGGGCTCAAGTTTTAACGTCTGGTTGGGGGGGGGGGAAGGTTCCGAAAGTTTTAGAGGATCTTTGTCCTTTAGCCGTAAACATACAAGGGATGAGAGAGGGTTCTGAAACAGTCTAGTCAAGCCCCGTAAGGGTCCTTTGCATAACATGCTGCACATTCATATTCCCACAAGTCTGTTGATGGTTTGAAGTTCGAAGTACATTTCACAAGCTCAAGGCTTGAACAAGCCAGCCCTAAAGGTATGATAGAATCATAGAGTTGGAAGGGACCCCATGGATCATCTAGTCCAACTCCCTGCGATGCAGGGATATGCACCCATATGGGGATCAGACCCATGACCTTGGCGTTATTAGCACCATGCTCTAACCAATTGAGCTAACTGGTGCCAGCTTAAATCGAGTAAGGGACTTGCTTAAGCCTGGTTTGTCTTCTTACTAAGAAAACTGAGTTGAGCCTTTCAAGAGAATCATGCTTCATGATCCTTCACTTAAAATTTTTTTTTTGAAGGGCTCTGATGAAGAAGATGAGAGTCAGAAAGTTCCACCACCTCCAGAAACTCCGATGCCACCACCTCTTCCTCCTACTCCAGACCAAGTCATTGTCAGGAAAGATTATGACCCTAAAGGTAAGCTTGGGGTTAAGATCAGGTGGGGTTTTGTGACTGGTGAATGGGTTGCATTCCAGATCCAGTGGTCATGTAAAACATTTCTAACTGTGTATCTCTCTCTCTCTCTCTCTCTCTCTCCCCCTCCCCCCTCTCCAGCATCTAAGCCTTTGCCACCAACTCCGGCCCCAGATGAGTATCTTGTCTCCCCCATCACGGGGGAGAAAATCCCTGCCAGCAAAATGCAAGAACATATGCGGATTGGGCTTCTGGATCCCCGCTGGTTGGAGCAAAGGGATCGCTCTCTCCGGGAGAAGCAGAGCGATGATGAGGTCTATGCCCCAGGTCAGTCCAGCAAGGTTTTAGTGGTCTTTTATCGACATATTTTTTATTGTGTTAACCTTGATTACATGTTTATGCGGGTCTGAAGGAAACTAGTCAGATACTAAAATGCTCTTCTGAAAAAAATTAGAATCATTCAGTGTTAATAAATTGATAGATAAATGAATTACCTTGGATTAACTTTAGTTTTATAAGAGGACAGCTATCAAGCGACAGGTAGGCATCAAATTTCAAAAGGCGTTTTGGGGGCAGGTGTGTTTACTACACTGCAGTTCATTTGATTCTGTAGTAAAACGTTTAACGTATTTTCCTCTCCAAACGGGGATCTTCAAAGCAGCTAATAAAGGTTTATAAAAGAAAAAATGATACCCAGTAATAATTCAGAATGCAATAAGTATATATTTGAAGATCAACTACATGTCAGCTGCTCTTGAGTTTTTTGATGAAAGAATGGGCTTTATAAGCATAAGAAATATTTAAAAACCTGTGCCTGGTTTGGGTTGTTCAGAGCCCTGACAAAGTAGTGAATGGAGAAGGTAGAACACTATCTTGGCAGCCAAAATTTTCAGATGGCTAATTTTTTCAGGGCATCCCATTTCTGTTTGCCCATTTTATGGGAGTAGCGACAACAGATGGCTTAGAACCTATGAGCAGTGCCCTATCTTGAAGGACCAAAACAAAAAAAAACACCATGGCAAACTCTCCCATTTTACTCATACATTCCAGGCTTGGACATTGAAAGCAGCTTGAAACAGCTGGCTGAGCGCCGTACCGATATTTTTGGTGTTGAAGAGACAGCTATCGGCAAGAAAATTGGGGAAGAAGAGATCCAGAAACCAGAAGAGAAGGTATGGCAGGGAGCCAGGCTAAAAAGCGCTCTGCTACCGGAAGCGTGAAGGGAAGGAAGCCTCCTCCTCCAGTGGCTTAACTTTTGTTAGTGTGAAAGCAAGAGGCACTAAGACTCACCTGTTTTCTGTTTTACTAGGTGACCTGGGATGGCCACTCTGGCAGCATGGCCCGAACTCAGCAGGCAGCTCAGGCCAACATTACCCTTCAAGAGCAGATTGAGGCTATCCATAAGGCCAAAGGACTGGTGCCAGAGGATGACAGCAAGGAGAAGATTGGGCCGAGCAAACCCAATGAGATGCCCCAGCCCCCACCCCTCTCGTCAGCCCCAAACATCCAAACCAGCGCTCCGCCAATCGCATCAGTGCCTCGCCCGCCCTCGGTAAGCCCCACTTGTTCCATAGGAAGCTCCTCTGCTTAACAGGAGACTTCTTCTATTTGGCAGAGGGAGCCAGGTTTTAATTTGCATCTTGTAAGCTGAATTGCCTTGCTTGGGGAAGGGTCACGTCTCAGTGGCAGAGCACCGGCTTTGCATGCAGAAGGCCTCTGGTTTGATCCCCTGCATCTCCAGGTAGAGCCGAGAGAAATTCCCTGTCTGAATCCCTGGAGAACTGCTGCCAGTCTGTGTCAGCGATACTGAGCTAGATGGGCCAGCATGGCCTGGTTCAGCATAAGCAAATTCCTGTGTTCTTACGTCTTCTAGATGCCACCACCTGTCCGTACAACAGTTGTCAGCGCTGTTCCCGTCATGCCTCGCCCACCGATGACTTCCGTGGTCCGCTTACCTCCAGGCTCTGTCATCGCTGCTCCGATGCCACCGATCATACATGCCCCTCGGATCAACGTCGTTCCGATGCCACCTTCGGCCCCGCCCATCATGGCTCCCCGACCCCCTCCCATGATTGTGCCAACAGGTCAGTGCTGAACAATCTCACCTCGGGCTAAATAAGTTTTGGGAATTGTGGAAGCCGGTCAGGATTGCTCCTGGTCTCAGAATTTGCTTCTGTTGGCGCATTTTCCTCAGTGGTCCTATAGCTACCGCGTTAAGCAGTTGCACTTTACCTGCAAGTCTTTGATCAAAAGTTTCTGCAGGCTTCATTGGGATTCTTCATACCAAAAAGCCATTTCTTCAATGGAATTAAGCCCTGGAGGTCAACACCCTGCTAAATTTAGTCACTGCATTTGCTGAATGAATTATAACAGTTGTGTTAAAATTGGTGACATCTTTGGGTTTGAAAGATGCCACAGTGACAGCTTTACCCTATGTATTGCCTTGTGATGATCACCATGTGTCCTTTTTTTAAAAAAAAGATCTGTAGTTGGTAACTGTTATACAGGTGACTCCTTTCTCCCAAAAGTTTGAGGTCTAGAAAAGAAGAGGGGGGAAATGTTGGGCAGGAACAGAATTCCCCCTACTTGTTCCAAATTGGTTGTTCCCCTCTCCCAAAATGAACTCAGAATTTCATCTTCATTCTCCCTAGCCTTCCAATTCCTTTTCTCACATGAAAGGTTAAAAATTGTTGCATAGTCTATTGTTTATGCTTCATGACCTTTTCCTACCCATAGCCCCTTTTCCACAGAGAAACTGAGGCAGACTGCTTTCAGTTTCTTCCATGTCCCAAAATCATTCTTCCCACCATCTATGGGGATGAGGGTAGACTAGATCTTGCATTTTCAATCCTCTAGGATGCTTCACTGATGTACAAAGACTGTGGTGCTGGCTGCATTTACACAGGAGTTGGCTTGCAAGTTTTCTGTCTAAATCAGAGACCTGTTCTTCCACATAGGTATGGAAAAGCACACACTGCCAACCCCAGTTCTTGAACCCAATAAGTTGAAAGTGTGCTCTGTGACATTACAGTATATTCTTGACCATTGTGTGGGACAAAGGAGCGGCCTGGAACCTTTGTGCTTTCCTGTAGAGTTTTCCGTTTTAAATAATGAAATCTAAATAGGCACTATTTTATTATCTCATAGGTTTCAGGTGAGCTAAGCCATTGACTAATTATATTTAATTGTTACAATATAGGATACAGACAGGGACCAGTCAGCAGTCCAGGTAACTTCTTAAGTGTCATTGTGACCTCGGAGGTAACTCAGCTAATCACTAACCTTCAAGTCGAGCTCTTAATTTGCATGCCTTCACTTCTCTTGTCTGTCCAGAGTGGTATCGGGGATTCCTGGCTGTGGTGTGCGTCTCTGTGTGTCAATAGTTCTTGACCTTTTGTAGACTACTTGGCCTGATTGTCGCCGCTCTTCAAAGATTCTTGTGGCTGCATGCTAGCTTGGGTGCCAGTTCTCCAGACACTGTCGTTTTGCAAGAGAAACAAAGGCAGGAATAGAGGAAGAGCCACTCGGTGCCCTTGGAAAGAGCCAGAGTCTTCTCTCTGTGTTTCAGTTGCTTCACACCCATTATAGTTGTTGCAAAGTAGCTTTAAGCCCCCCCTCATCTCGCATTTATGGTCTGGCTGCTTTGTGTGTGGCTCTTCCTCTTTTCAATGACCGCCATCCAAGTTTGAGATAAGTAGCTCAGGGTACATAAATAAGATGCTATCGAGTCACTTAGATCCCTGGCTGTCACGTGGAAGTGTTCTTGTCTGAAATTTTTGTAATTCTCTTAAATGCTTAATACCCCAGTCATTCCAAGCCAAAGACTTCACAGTGGAGTTGAAAGATCTGTGTGTTTTTTTAAAAAAAACCAACGTGGGTGGAAAGTCGTCGCCAGACCCAAGTATTTGAAACCCAGGGAACAGAGCAAGGCCAGATTCACATATTGCATTTTTAGCTGTACACTTCTGGTCAGGCACATGTGCAGTTGCAGCCCAGGATAGTTCATGGGGGCCCTTAAGGAAACAAGGGCAACTTGACCATAGCAATACTTGTGTCATAAAGCTCACGACTAGCATTAACTTCCTACACAGCTGAAGCAAAGCCTAGGAAAGGGACTTCAGCCTACTCTGGGATAGCAGATGCATCACATGTGTTTAGGTGCGTTCATCTCTCCCCCCCCCCCCCGGCCCCATTTATTTAACCTTCATTTTATTGCTACAAAGCAGACCTTTCTACATTCCCACATTTTCCTTACTTAGAAGCACTGAAGCTTAGACTTCCAGCAGGTGTGATGTCCTGACTTTCGCAGTGCTTGGATAGGAGAAGCTGACAACTTTTCCTAGGCTTTTTAGCTCAACTAATCTCATTTTAACACAGCTTTTATGCCTTGGGAGTTTCTACTTACTGTTGCTTTTCTTTTTTCTTTTGGTCTCTTTTCTTTCCCTAAAGGCAATGGTGCCAAATGTAACTCTTTCAAGAGATTTCCATTCCACCTTCTTGTGACCAGGAAATGTATTTTAAGGATCCATACTTCTCTCTGGTGCCAGGGACAGACACCATTGGAGATTGCAAAGGCCACTGGTCCCTCCAGAGTCATTAAACTTTTCTTATTAAAAAAAAAAAACCCTGCTATTTTTATACCCTGCCTTTCTATAAAAATCAAGCAAAACTTGTTGCTTACGTTTTAAAAAACACATATAAAACGCTTTAATATTTAAAGTAACCATAGCAGCGTTCAAAAGAATAAAAGGCATTTGATACATGAGAAGTAAAACATTTTTTTTTTTAAAAAAAAGATACAACTCCACACCTTCACAATGACTGGTACTATGCATAACCAATAACACCATTCTGAAAGTGCTTTGGTGAACAAAAAGGTTTTTAGCATACACCAAAAACACCTTATTTCTAAAGGCTGGGAGGTGGGGAGCAGAGACACAAATGCTTAGTTGTTTCATGCAAGCAAGCTCATAAGTGAGTTGTTTTGCCCTTGATTAGCTTTGGAAGATGCCTCCACACATGCTTCCTGTGCTACCTTCTCAAGCAGAAATGGAGATGGGACTATACCAGGCTTTTTCTACATTTGACACCACTGCTTTGGGGTTCTGTCCACGTCTTTTGCTCCAAACACCACTAGTGATTTTCTTGCAGAATAAATACTCTCCCCTCCCCCCATCAGCTTTTGTTCCAGCTCCTCCTGTGGCGCCAGTGAGTGCTCCGGCCCCTATGCCTCCTGTCCACCCTCCACCTCCCATGGATGATGAGCCGGCTTCCAAGAAGCTGAAATCTGAAGAGAACCTGATGCCGGAAGAGGAATTCCTGCGCAGAAACAAGGTGTGTGCTTAAATAAATAATGGCGCTTTGATCTTAGGCCAGAGGAATCTTCTAGCGGCTTGGGTGATCAGCGACCCTTCACATTCCGATTAAGCTGGGTTGCCAGCCTGAAGTTCTCCACTCTCAATCTGAATGGGGGAATTTGCAAGGGAAAGGAATTCAAAAGGTGGAAGGGCAGCCTTCCAGGAAGAAGCAGAGGTCTCTTTATCTATTTTCTCATCGGTTCTCCCTCCTTCTCCTTTGTAAGATTTGGCAGATTCATGGGGGAGATGGCTATCAATGGCTGCAAGCCACAATGGCTATGCTCTGCCTCCACAGTCAGAGGCAGTAATGCTTCTGAATACCAGTTGCTGGAAACCACAGGACAGGAGAGAGCTCGAATCCTGCTTATGGATTTCCTACAGGTTGGCCGCTGTGAGAACAGGATGCTGAACTAGATGGGCCATTTGCCTAATCCAGCAGGCTGTACTTGTGTTCTTAAGCACACCCCCCCCTTAACAGTGTAATTCTGCTTACTCCCTTAGGGCCCAGTCACGGTCAAAGTTCAAGTTCCTAACATGCAGGACAAGACAGAATGGAAGCTGAATGGTCAGGTGCTGGTGTTCACCCTCCCTCTCTCTGACCAGGTATGTGGCCCAAGCAATGGGTGGCCAGTTTCTCTGTTGTCAGTGACTGCTTTGCTCTTCAGACAGTTATCTGGGGTTTGGGAAGAGTATTTTGCTGCATAAAATGATCCCCATCTTTATCAGCGGCCAGGTGCCATTAAGAAAACCAGCGCTTGTGGAGTGCAGGCGCTTGTGGAGTGCAGGTGTTGCAGCAGAGAGTTATATATAAAAATGTTAGATTATGTGGCTCTTCAGGAACTGCAGCTGCTGCAGAATGCAGTAGCCAGATTAATTGTTGCAGCCAGGTGATTGTACCTTTTAACACCTGTTCTGGCTGCACTTTACTGGCAGCCCGTGCATTTCCAGGCCCAAATCAGTGTGCTATAAGGTTTACGCAGTTCAGCACCACACTGCTTAATGGAATGTCTCTCCCAATATGAATCTACCCATGCATTAAGATCTACACCAAACTCTCTCTTCATTCTGGAGAGGTTCAGAGAGTTGCTCCCTGTTTGTCGAAAAAAAGCTTCGCATCAAGGCCCACATGGTGCTGATACTGTCTTTTTTGGCGCCAGTTTAAAACTTTCCTCTGTTCTCAAGCATTTGATGTCATCTAATGGGCTGCTTTTCCCGATCATCAGTTTTTAATTTTGGGGGGAAAGGCTGCTTGTATATTCTTCCAGTTTTTACATTGCTGATTTTAATGGGGTGTATGTGTTTAGTATTAAATATTGGATTGCTCTTTTACTGCTTAGTTTTAAACACTGTATATTTACATGTATTTTATATTTCTATAAGCCAGCTTGGGAAAAGCACCTCAGAAATATTATAATAATAATAATAATAATAATAATAATAATAATGCTGTTAACATGTAAAGATGCACAGCAGGCATTAAAAGAGAGAACAATGTGTGGCTGTTTATAACCATGAAGCAGCAGGCAAAGCTTTTACCATTCCTGGGTGTAAAATACCTGACCAGATTTAACTGATGAGTCACCATTTGACATCCCTGCTCCCTGATTCATTTCTCTCTTGATTGATACAGCTTTCCTTTTATGACATTCATTGCAAACCTTTTCCTTTCTATCATGTTATGTTTCCCAAGCATGTGCTTTACAAGTCCCTTGTATAGTGCCCAATTTCATTGATGGTGTTTGTGGGTTTCTTCTGGTTCTTAGGTTTCTGTTATCAAGGTCAAGATTCATGAGGCCACAGGAATGCCTGCTGGGAAACAAAAGCTCCAATATGAGGTGGGTGTGTGGTCCCGTTGGCCCTTAGTTAGTTAGTTAGTTTGCCGTTCTTCATTCATAGATCTCAGGGTTCACAACATAAAAATACAAGATACAAAAGACATAATAAAAACAAGAACAAAAACAAACCAATAACCTCTCTCCTCTCCACCGTCTCCCACAAACGCATTTAAAAAGGTATGTAGCATGTTAATCAACTAAAGGCCTTGCTGAAGAGGAACATTTCTGCCTGGCGCCTAAAAGTATTATAATGAAGGCGCCAGCTGAACCTCCTTGGGGAGAGCATTCCACTTAACCCTGAGTGTCTTAAGATCCCAGCCCTATCTGTTCACTTGCCTTTTTCAAGCTTAAATCGTAAATGCCATGATTCGCATTCCATGCTGAGATATGAAGGAAGGGCTATAACTCAGTGGTAGAGCGGTTGCTTTGCATGCAGGAAATCCCATATTCAGTCCCCAGCATCTCCAGGTGGGGCTGCTGGTCAGTGTAGACAATGATGAGCTAGATGGACCAATGGTGTGACCTTGTCCAAGGCATAGCTCCCTGTGGTTTCCTTCTGGTGCAAAGGGTGGGTTTTGTTTTCCTTGCCAAGCACAAAGCTTAGTACTGTTGAGACCCTCTCGTGTCTTGTCTTTTCAGGGCATCTTCATCAAAGATTCCAACTCTCTGGCTTATTACAACATGACCAGCGGGTCAGTGATCCACTTAGCACTCAAAGAAAGAGGAGGTAGAAAGAAGTAGGACTCCATTGGCAAGGCAGCTGCCACACAGCATATGGCACAAGACAAGCTGCCAGAATCTGCCAGCTCCTGAGTAACATCCGCATGGCGTTCCCACATGGGCAGCGCTTTGTACCTTCAGCTTGTATCTGGTAATCCCTTCAGCTGGAGAAAGTTGTTCATGCCCTTGGAGTCACTGTCAATTATTTTTCAAGTTGATGTGTGTATATTTCAGCAGCTCGTGCTATATATTCACAATGTTATCAGAATCGCTGCTTGGCTAGCATTTCCTTTCAGTGGTCTTCTGTTTTATTTTCTTGCAACGTTTTGCCTCTGCAGCTAAGATCTCTCTTAGCTTTGATTAGATCTGACCATGTACATTAAACTTTTGGAAGGGGCTTGCTGGCATATAAGAGAATGATACCTTCTGGATGAAACATTTCAGTTTAACTTCCTTATTCCAAATAACTAGTGTAATAAAAGCATTTGTGATTTTCCATGTGAAATCTCTGAGCTCTGATGTCTTTTGCATCGACCTGGGTTTCCTGGGAATGGTCAGACAACAGAGATGGAGTCGTCAACAGGCTCATCACAGCTATCTGCCAATCACCCATTCCCACCACCCTTCTGAGTAATACCCCTCCCCACCTTCTTACTATATAGAAGGATCTGGCAACTTCTGTTTCAGTGTATCTGAAGAAGTGTGCATGCACACGAAAGCTCATACCAAGAACTAACTTAGTTGGTCTTTAAGGTGCTACTGGAAGGAATATTTTTTTTGTTTTAACAGAGATGGAAGAAGCTGGTAACCCAGTAAGCCTGCAGTGTGAGCTCTTATTCAGAACAGTGGAATCGGTCAGGATTCCTGGAAGCAGCTTGCATTAGTCCAGCATAATTTTTTACTCCCCATCCTCCTGCTTTGGAGCAACTTGCCTCCTCCATTGCATTGCTTTTGAGTTGGGAGAAAACGAAGTCACTTGGTTCTTGGCTCCTGGCCTTCTGTATTAAGTGTTTGACCAACACATGAGCTTCAAGGGGCTTGTGCTAGATTCCTCAGAATCTTGCCAAGATTTAACCCTCTTAGTTTGGGAGATTATGAACCTGACAAAAGTGCAACACACTTTCATTGACTTCAATACAAAATATGGAAATGATTTTAAATCTGTGTGTCTTTTTTGCAAATCGCTCCTTGTCTTTCCACCCAAGACATACTAAAGGCTGAAAGAAGCCTTCAGAGGGCAGTAGATTAAGATGCTGTTCAAGTCTCTTATCTTTATCCCCTGCAGTACAGCCACACTTGCTTATTGAGTCTGTAGGTTTTTGATAATCGAAGGCTGTAATTTTGGTGGCAGAGGCTTTTGGAGCCTTTTCTTATCACGGCTAAAGAGTTACACAATACAGTGGTACCTCTGGTTGTGAATGGGATCCATTCCGCAGCCCCGTTTGCAACATGAGCAGAACGCAACCTGAACATGCCCGGGTTGTGATTCGCCGCTTCTGCGCATGTGTGTGACGTCATTTGGAGCGTCTGCGCATGCGTGAGTGGCGAAACCCTTTCCGGTACTTCTGGGTTGCCGCGGGACGCAACCAGAAAAGACGTAACCTGAACCGAACGTAACAAGAGGTATGACTGTAGGTTCTAAATTAGCCTGTCCCAGGCTGGTGCCCTAAAGATGTTATGGACTACAGTTCCCATCAGCCCCAGGCAGCATTGCTGCTCTAGCTGGGACTGATGGAAATTTGAGTCCAAATCATTTAGAAGGCTCCGTCCTAGAGAAAGCTGTTTAAATCATTGGTCTTTCAACTGTTGAGGCAGTTTACTATGCAAATAGATGGTAAAAATATTACAAAGCAAGTCCCAAAGGGCATGCTTGGGCTAATGTTGGGTGCCAGGTCTTGAAAGCCAGCTGCTCTAAATGCTGCGCTACCATGCTCCAAATCCCCCCTGCATCTTTGGCACCTATTGTTTAGGTGCTCACAGCTAGAGGCATCCCCTTCCAGCCTTTTCCTCCCATACCCCTGATCATTAGAGAGTTGTTGCCTGCTTCCCTTAAGAGTGTCCAAATTAAATGGCTATCACAAAGCAGTGTTGCTTTTTCTCTCTCGGCTTTCCACAGGGCCAAAGCTTAGTGGCAGAGCTCCTGCCTTGCATGCAGAATGTGAAGAATCCCCAACACTTCAAGATAGAGCTGAGACTGCCTCCTGCCTGAAAAAGGAGTTTGGGCACTGTTGTGCTAGGTCAGGGGTAGGCAACCTAAGGCCCGTGGGCCGGATGTGGCCCAATCGCCTTCTCAATCCGGCCCATGGATAGTCCGGGATTCAGTGTGTTTTTACATGAGTAAAATGTGTGCTTTTATTCAAAATGCATCTCTGGGTTATTTATGGGGCATAGGAATTCGTTCATTTCCCCCCAAAAATGCTCTGAGGGACGGTGGACCGGCCCACAGCTGAAAAAGGTTGCTGACCCCTGTGCTAGAGGAACCAGTGATCTCAGTTGGGTATAAGGCACCTTACTGTTTAAGACAGCTGTTTTGTAACAATCATGAGACCTCGGATCTTTATTTTTAGAGGAATGACCTCATTCTCTTGGCAGAGTGTCCTTTGCATGCAGAAAGTCTCCGGTTCATTCTGCAGGTAGGGCTGGGGAAATGTACCTTGCCTGAAATACTGGAAAGCTGCTGCCAGTCAGTGCAGACAGTACTGAACTAAATGAAGCAGTGGTCTGACTGCGTTAGGCAACTTCCTGTGTTCTCAGCTCACTTCCTTGTGCTCTGCAAAATCAGCTGGACTCATACTGTAGACTAGATTGACTTTGCTAACTCCCTGGTCCATGGCCCAAATGATTGTCCTTTAACCTGTCTATTCATCCCTTTTGGGGTGGCAGTTGATCTTCCAGACTTAGGGTCTCCTTGGGCTGGAAGATTTATGAATGGGCATAGGAAGGCCAGGAGGAGAGAGGTGGAAGTGGTTCTCCTAACATGGGCTGGAATGCAAGCTGCCAAGCGTGAAGACACCCCAGTTTATGGAAGTCTTCAGGCTCTGCAGTCTCACAGCTTGAGTGGACCCTTGGGAACAAATGTGGCTGACATATATATGATTGTGCTGTGCCTGGGGAATGGAACAAACCCGGCTGCAATTGAGCTTTGAGAGGCAGCTGCCTGGGTTCTGCCAAAGCCACCCAGAAACCTTTTATTTGGAAGCCTTGGTGATAGATTCCAGTCTCTCAGAACAGTCTTGTGACCATGTTTGGTTCCATCTGCCCTTTTGCAGTACTTCAGCTGATTTCAGACAACTTAATCACTTGCAGGTCTTTTCTGCAAAACACACATTTCTCTGCTGGCTGGGATGTATGTAGCAGATGTCATTTTTTGTCAGGCTGTGGCCCATCTACCCTGCTCTGGTTGCTGTGGCTCCCCTCTGGGGCAGGTGGGGGGGACCTTCAGCTCTCCTGATGTTGTTGAATTACAAATCGCATCATCCGTGGACATTGACCATGCTTTCTTGGGCTGGTGGGAGATGTTGTTCAGCAACCTCATCTGAAAGGTCCCCCACACCTGGTCTGATGTTCCAGATGCTGCGGTCTTTCCTGAAATCTCATGGGTGGACATGCTGGTCATTGAAAACAAGAGCCCCACTGGATTAGGTCAAAGGCTCAACTAGTCCAGCATCCTTTTCTCAAAGTGGCCAACCAGATGCCTCTTTTGGTAAGCCTGCAAGCAGGACCTGAGTGCAAAAGCAGAACTTGCCCCACTTGGGTTTCCCTGGTAACTCTTATTCAGTGGCGTATTCCTTTCCAGCAGTGGATGCACAATGTAGCTGTCATGGCTCATAGTGGTTTACCACTACTGTATGCTACAATACTGCATTTAAAAAACAGCAACTAAGTATTTTGCAAACATGGGACACTAAGAGGCTAACTAAAAAGATGATTAAGAAACTATCCTGCTGGACCTATCTAGTCTAATCATCAGGCCCCAAACTTCCATCTATATTCCAGCTTTCTGGTTTGTTTGTTTGTTTGTTTTTATGTGTTCAACTGTGTTTCTGGAACCTCACAAATGGGATCTCTGAAAGCAGCAACTTCTTGGAAAGGGCAGCATAGGTACAAGAGAGCGGAGAAAGGGAGAGAAATTGTCTTGTGTTTACAATTTTATTTACCATATTTTTTGCACCATAACACTCACTTTTTTCCTCCTAGAAAGTAAGGGGAAATGTCTGTGCATGTTATGGAGGGAATGCCTACGGGTGGCATGCCTACGGATTTTCCTCCTCTAAAAACTACATGCGTGTTATGGTCGGGTGCGTGTTATAGAGCGAAAAATACGGTATTACATTTATATACCATATTTTTTTCCAAGGAGCTCATGGTGGTGTACATGGTTCTGCTCCTCCCCATTTCATCTTTGCAATAACCCTGTGAGGTTGAGAAGGCTGAGAGAGGGTGACTGGCCCAAGGTCACCCAGTTCATCGCTGAGTGGAGATTTGAACTCTGGTCTCCCAGGTCAGAAGTCCCAACACTCTGGTTAGACTATAAGCTCTAAAAGAGGATGAGGCAAATTCAAGGAGGATGAGACTATCCGTGGCTACTCACCCTGATGGATATATCGTTCTACCACCGTGTTGGAGGCAGTATGCTTTTGCATGCCAGTGTCTAGAAACTGCAGGAGGGAAGAGTGCTGTTAAACTCAGGTCCTAATTGAGGGTTTCTCAAAGGTATCTGCTTGACCACTGTGAGAACAGGATGCTGGACTAGGTGACCCATTGGCCTAATCCAGCAGACAAGTTTTTGGGAGGTTTAAAAAGGTACTATCACAAACACTCTTAAAATGACTGCTTTTTCAGCAGTATTCAAGAATGGGCATTTTTTTGTTATGGTGAGCAACTGTGGAAATCCTTTTATTTTAGGGTGCTAAGGACACCTTTAAAATGTAACCCTAAGGAGTGTACTTTATGCACTCGGGGAGCGTTGCCGCTGGATCTGCTTTACCATATCCTGCATTGACTCTTGAGTTAACAAATTTGCTTCTCCTGCCTGAGCATTCACACAAAGGTGGGTTCGGCTTTCTAAACACACACACACACACCCCGGCTGTTTTCACAAGTCAATTTGCAAAAGAGCCACCTTTGTGGCTGATGTCGGATGCAAAATAGATAATCTGAAATCTGCTTAGCTTCCAGTGCGAGGGAGAGTAGATTGTTGTGGCCAACCGCTGGGCGTGTATTGTTCATCCCAATCCACCCACAAAGGATGTGCTGTTCCCTGGTTGGCTAGGCCTTTTGGATGTGAGCCCACAACTACCCACATGCAAGTTGTGAGGTTCTTCCCAGCCCAATTAGGAGACAAGATAAAAATCTGGAAGAGATACTTATCTATGCAACAACATGCATCTCTGGGAGACGCACCTGTGTATAACAGCAAATTGTGCAGATAACATTGGCAAAATGTTGCTTTGAGTAGAATGTGAGCTCCAGACAAAGCCCTGAAGCAGAACCCAAGCGTGGTTC